AGGCTGTTTTGTTATATTATTAAACATGCAGACAATAATAAAATTTGGGGAATAATTTTGAAAATTTAATTTTAGTTTTAAATCCAATTTATGCTATTCAAATCACTTAGGTTCTCTAAAAAGTTTTTACTCTAAGTCCGTGTCAAGAGAAGTAAAGATTGGGAGAACACAGGCGATTACTATTACTAGTCCAAAAACTCTTTGTTGGGATGAGCATAAATAAAATGAGTGTGTATCCTTATGGCTGTTTCTCCTGCAGAAGCAAATAGGAAATTAATACAGTAATTTATTTATTAATTTTTACAAATAAACAGAAAAGCCCCAAAGACTAATAAGTACAACAAACTAGGAAAACTTGTTTGCTATGTAAACAGGTTTATTTGGCAAAAGGACTCAAAAACAATGGATTGTTCAGATAGGCAGCTGTTAGTGTTCACGTTCTTGTCAATAGTTTGAAATTTGTGTTGAAAGTTGCCTCAGGAAACAAGTGAAATAATTCATGAATCAATTATCTTGCCATAGAAACTGTTGTTTGTCAAAAAATTTGTGACTTTACACATTCTGTTTTATTGGAAGTGCTTGTTCTTATGTTTTTCGATTTTGGATCATCCTCACACTGAGTAAATCAATACATATAATTTTGAACAAATTGAATACACTTTTGCTGGCCAACAAAATCAAGAGAGACAATTAAAATATAGATGTCTTGATGCAAAATAATTAGACGAGACAAGATCCAGCACAGAAGAGAAAAAGAGATAAGAATTAAAAGAACAACAACAAATCAGCTGAAACACCACTGCCAACAAGAGCATCGGAGAACGAATTTTTTTGAATGCTATAATTTAATGTAAAACGTCGAGGCAAAAGTCGATGCAAAATGAATGAGTGTGTTTAGTAATCATCTACACATTTATAAATATTAATTGAATAATAAAATATACATGAAACTTATTTAGAGAGCCGAAAATTTTTAGAATAACATACATACAAAATTAGATCTTCCGATAATAATTTGTGTAAATTATTATCGGCCCAATTATTATTGTTCGAATAAATAAGAATGTTCGCAATAATTATTATTTACTATTGATACTGTTCTTTTTAACTTTTAACTGTATAATTTTTGTAAAATATAAAAAGATTTATGCATAATGATCGGAACAATTGAATTAATACATTATCTAAATTTATACACGTGCTGGCTGATATCTGCCCTAAAATTAGCTTTATAATGAAGTTATTAATTTCATTTGTATTTTCAGATTTTAATTTTAAGTTTTATTGTATAATTATTATGCAATAAACAAGTTTAATTTTAATAAAGATCATGAAGAAATTGGCAAAAAAATAAAAGATTAAATTATATATTTTAACTTACTCATTATCCTGGAGGTAGAAAATAGAAAGGTATTTTAGTTTTATAGTTTGTAAAGTCACCATCTCTTAAGGTATTTTGAATTTAATTTACTTCTTATTTTTTAATGCATAATGTAAAAGCTAAATATTAAAAAAATGTTCAATATTTCTGGAATCTTACAATCTATAAATAAAAATTTAATATACAGGGTCTTCCAAAAATGAATGTAACTATTTTAAATTACTGTAATTGTGTTAATTATTATCTAAGGAGTATGCAACATACATCGATGGATAGAATGACCGAGTTTCCTTGACATCTCGACATTCAAATGTCTCAACGTCTACTACCTCTAGGAGAGTCATTAAAAAAAAAAGTGACTCCGCAACAAAAGTTTTGTGCTCTGCAGTTTGCAATGAGTAATCTGCACAAGACTTAGAATTGTGACTGCCGTGGGAGGAGTGATGACAGATATACCATAGCAAGTGTAAGAAGAATTCAAGTATCTGTCAGATGCATGCTGTGCTATACAACGTACACGCATTGAGAAATTGTAATAGGGAAATCCGAAACTTGGACAGTTTTCCAATGTTTTAATGTATGATACAGCATTCTTAATAATTAGATGATAATTAGAATAATTACAATAATTTGAAATTATAAAATTCTTTTCAGAAGACCTGTACTTTGGCATGTACTATAATTTATTTAGTTATAAAAACTTCTATTTTAGTAACATCAAAGCAAGTATTTACAATTAAAATTGTAAATTTTCTTTTGTTCTAAAGAAATAAAGTTGTTATATGTAAAGTTAGAAATGTTATTGAATTTTTAATTTATATTTAATAAAAAAGCACACACATTAAAAATTATAACTTTAAGAAATATTTTTATTATTAATTTGGTTCCTAAATTCTTTAATTTTTCATTTTTTCGTACAAAGCTACAAAGTATTACATTATTAAATTCTAGAAATTTAATAAAGTTGAGAGTTTGTTAATAGATGGCATCACTCTAACATTAGTACTGGTATCAAATATTTCCAATTGTATTTTCATTGGCCTATAAATTGATAAGTATTTGTATACCAATATAAATTGTTTGTTAATTCATACTTAATAATTTTAGAATTGCTTATATAATTTTAATGTACCAAAATTCTAGAATATTCAAATATACAAGAAGAATAAAATTATATTTAAATCAACTGATGACATTAATAATAATAATTCATTTTAGAGTCAAAATATCAAGAATTTTTAAAGATAAGAATCTAAAAATTGAATTATGAATTTTTTAATACTTTGAGAAAACATTAGAGACAGATTTTTATATAAAAATTATTGTAAGAATCTTGATTTCATCTTAATGCTGTCTACGAATTTGATTTATAGTTTATTTAAATTAATATTTAAATGCAAAACTTTCATAAAATTATAAATTTGGAAACAAAAGATTTATAAGTATTAGGGATTGTTCTAAATTTCAGGATTTCTTAATTAAATAATATATATTGTCATTTCTGCACAAAATCCTCGTAAGCATCACTATAGGTCCAGCAAGTTTTATGTCAGTTGTGCATGCCTGTAGAGTGTGCGTGTTCCATAAAAAAAAACATCAGAAACATTCGACCAATAGAATTGGTTGTACTGTTATATATAATAAGCTCATATATAATTAGGTAGTGTGCATTGTTAGGAAAACCTTGTACATGACTAAATCTTTTTTCTCTGTTGTTGAGTGTTGTCAGTAGTAAAATTAGATAATTACATGATTACACTTATAAGATTTTTTCTCATGTGAAAAGTTATACTGTTTTGTTCAATATTGTCTTTTGTTGTTCCTGTAAAATTTAATATTTTGATGCTTAGAGGTTTTCACATGTCAATAGAAATACAGTAGAACCTCGATTATCCGGACTAATTGGGGATGAAGGTAGTCCGGATAAGGAAAAATTCGGATAATCGAAACAAATACTTTAGTTTGTCTTTTAATGATAATATAACACGTTTTCTTTTCGATGACATATCAGTAATATTAAAAATAAATACTGTATTTAAATTGTGATCAAATTTTCAAGAAACAAATGTTCGTATTGAATTTGGACTACTACTGACCAGTGCTAACAGACTACAGTAGATCCCCCTATAAGACGGTAGATACGTTCCGTTCTTTATGAATCAATTTTGTAGGAATCATAGTTTACGGACTACGGCTGTTTGAAAGGTTTTCTTTCATAAAATTAATCGATTCTAGACTAATTCGACTCAACATTTCCAAAATACGTATATTTTTTTGAAAATAATCCGTATAAACTACGTTATAAACAAAAAATTGTAGGATTGCTTACCGAGTGTGTACCGTTCGACTACGCCCGTTGCTAAAGCTTGGTTTCGTCGCGGAACAGCGCATCAAACCGCGGCCGCGATTTCTGATATTATTTTTCTGCGAAAACTTCGTTGACCTTTGGAGACATCCTTAATATAAATAATTTTTATGGCCGTTAAATAAGAAATGTTTCTTTCACAAGAAATGTATAAAATTACAGTACTGTATTAGACTTACGGTACCTAATTTACATACTGTACAGACGATAGTAAACTCAACTTACTCGCCTAAACTCTCTGTAGCGTGGCGCTGGACGGCGGAAAGTATATATATAATTATAATAAAGTTACAATAAATTAAGTTAATATATAATTATATGTACAGTACCTAATTTATATATAATTAATATATAATTATATGTACAGTACCTAATTTATATATAATTTATATAATACTGTCCAGACGATAGAAATCTCTCCGTAGCGTGGCGCTACGGACGGCGGGTAAGTAGTTCGGCTGCCCGATGACGTTTTACGTATTATAGGAGTTATTTTTACCGTTGTTTACGGATAATGCCACAATTTTTATAGGAATCATAACTATAGGAAACGCTTTTATAGGGGGATCTACTGTACTTATTATTTAAAAGGCCCTCTGGTGGTGCAAGAAGGCGGATTTTATAAAATAAAAAGCAGTTGAAACTGCATTTTTATGAATAAAAATTTGACAAACTATTTATCGTTTTATGACGAATAAAATTTTTTCTTTGCGTTCGCGGCTTTTAAGTAATGCATAAACCTTCGAAACGTGAGGCATAGGCGGTGGCCCACGTTGCCCGTGCCTTATGCCGCCCTTGGTCATAGAAATGATGTAATTTGAAAATAAAATTATTTATAAATACGTATGTCAAGTTATATTTTTATTACGATGCAAAATATATTTAAGAGTTTACGGCCACTGTGCCGGGTGAGACGTTGAAACAAAAAAAGTTATGCATTCCATCACGTACATAAACAGTATTGTAATTCGCCAAATGCAAATCAGCAAATTCGTAAAATTTTTATTTTGAACAATCCGGATAATCGAGGTTCTACTGTACATTTAATTGAAGATTAATATTGTATCATTCAGAATTTTCTTTTCGGGCTTGTTTTGAAATTTATATATTTAATAGAAATTATAGACACATCTGCAATGATTGTTAATGTTTAATAAAAGTTTATTTTTCATTAAGTATTAAATTTATTTCACTTTTATTTATGTTCAAGTTTAATTCTCATTTTATAAAAATGAACAAAAAAATCAGACAAAGTCGATGAAAAACAATTACTATTTATTAATTCATTAAATTATATTCTATTTACAAATTTGTATATACACCTGTTATCATGAAAATTATACTTTCTGTTAACGTGTTCAACGACCCGACCTAAAAGTAGTTGCTGGCCGTAGTGCTCGGCTTCTTCTCTGGCCTGAGCTAAGCCAAATATTGTTAAATAATTTATAAGTTGTTTCCCAGAAAATAATAGTTCTGTACTTCTGGTTGTTTGCATGTTTTCTGCTTGTAAGTAAGCTTCACACCTTTCTTGGTGATAAGCAATAAATTGTTGGCAAATATTTTGTGTAGATTGTTCCAAATCTTGAATGTCTGGTAACACAATATCATCACTACCGTATCGAACCTTCCTATAGATTCTGGCACATAAATGAATGATAAAATTAACATCAAGTTCGAATATGAGGAAGATTATAATTCCTTGGCCATATACTAAAAGTATATCTAAAAATTGTAATTCTATTAATATACCTGAAGAAGTCTCCATCACTAACATCCAAGTACATATAGCCAAGCTTATTATCATAGATACATTCAATAGGAATAATAGAACAAAATGATTACTTATGTCGTGGATATCGATGCAGTTATCAAACATTCGGATTTCCATGTCATTTGTGGTCACATCAGCATAATCTTGAATTAAAGAATTGCATGCCTTTCTCTGTTCTGAAGAACATCCGTAACGATCAGCACATAATAAATTATAATTACCCACTTCTATATCAGTTTGATTAAAAATGTCTTCGATATCTTCCATGGTCCCGTAACATCTAGGAATTTCTTGCTGATCGTGATTGATACAAGATACATTTGCATTAGTGGTATTTTCGACATCGTTAATTGGTTGGTAGTTGGCTTGCTGATTAAGCCGACGTTGTTGAATAATTAGACAAACTGTCGTAATGGCGACGCTTATAGAAGTTATTATCAATATAATATATCTTTCTATAATACCATATTCAAAGATATCATCATCAGTTTGGTTAGTTGCAATGAAAGCCATAGTTGCCACTACAGAAATTGGGAGTAAGACACCTAAAACATTTAAAAACATGTTTAATCTAATAACAAAACATAAACTTCTCCAATGAAGGAATGCTATAGTGAGAGCAAGTATAACTGTCCATACCCTTACAAAACTTACTCCTCCTATATAGAGAAGTTTGAAGTAAAACATCTGATGATCTGAATAAACAGATGATGTAATACCCTCAACTGCAAGTATTATTTGTGCTAAAAGAATGATAAATGTTGCTCTGTGTGTGATAATTTTCCATTTCTTCCTTATTAGAAATGAAATTATCAACCAAATGCTTAATGTTAAAGTAATAATACTGCTGTACATTTTAGTAGGTAAGAGATCTGCTTTTAACAAAGTTAAGTCTTTTTGATGCATAGACATCACACTTGCTGATATAGCCATGAACGGTGCAGCAATCACTGTACATATTACCATTCCTGTTGAAACAACATCTGTTGACAAACCATAGTGGACAGCATACAGATAAGCTGCAGGTGCAAATGGAAAAGTCCCATAAAGAAAACCGAAATTGCTCAATTCATTTAACTCCTTACCTGGAATGTAATCAGATAGCAGAATAATAACTTTTTGAATTATCAATGGTAGTAGTAATATTTTGGCCAATATTAGAACTATCGGGCAAATTAAAGCACGACCTTTCATCTGTCCAAATTTTCCAACAAGACTGATTCCAAGAAGAAAGAGTGCCGTGGCTGAATATGCTGAACCAAATATATCCAACAACTTGCATAATACATTAGGTAGATGCTCATGGAAAATTATATTTGATATTATTCCAAGTACAGTCATTATTATTACTGGATTAGTTATAGTACCTTTAAGTACTAAAAATAAAATATTCTTCCTCCTTGTCTCTTGTTTATGTATCTCAATCAGGAAAAAACCTACTGGGTTTAATATAGCTAGCTGTATAGGTGCAAGTAAGTAAATGTAATGTGCGTATTCAGGATGGTGATGACTATACAAAGCTAATATTAAAGGATAACCAAGAGCAAAATCATTACTTTGGGTAGCAAGAATTGCATAAAGTCCAGCTTTACTTGTATCTGCAGGTTTTGTAACAATAAGTGTTGTTATAGCCACTAATATAAAAACAATAGTTTTAGATACAAAAATGCTGGCCATAAATGTCCAATTAACATGATCAAAGTCAAGCTTTACAAGCGAGCTAAATATGAGAGCAGGAAGAGAATAACATTGTACAAAATTGTTTAAACCTGAAACTTCTGTAGTAGATAACTTTCGGTATTTTCCCGTAAGATAGCCAATCAGGATGACACCAAAGCATTGCACTAATGCCGACAATAAAGTGTTGTTATCGTGATCACCCATTTTATTTCCTGTAAAAGAATAAAATTTAAGATAATTATAATTTGAGCATTAAAAAAAATCTATCAATATAATTAAAGGTTAAAAAACAAAACTTTGAAGTTAAATTTATCTCATATTTACTATAATTACCTTTTGATTTACATATAGGAAAAACTATCAATCAACAATTATAATTGTGTATCACAATGAAAACAACTCTAGATTTGTTGCATGTGTTAACTGCTCTAACCAGATAGATTAAATCCAAGCTTTGAAAATCACTTTCCAGACCATTAACAGCCTTCAAAACAAAACAAATTTACTACTATTATAATTATTTCAGGGTATGTGGTTCATTAAGCTAATGAAATGTGCCAATTAGTACGATTCACTCTGTTTACAGATAAAAGTGTAAATTTTTATTGATTTTATTATGATTGTAATTTAAAATATTTGGTTGAAATATTTAAGAAAATTAATTTTTTTTTAATGTTTAATTTAATTATTTGTACTTTATATTTTTACTTTCCCAGCTGTTATATATGACAGAGGAAAGTATGACAATCTAAAAGATTTTTACAACTTGGACACAGTACCTTGAACCATTGAGAAATACAGAAATTATTATTATTATTTTTTTGCATGTGTGGAAGGGACACAATTTTATTCACTCACTTTGAAGTTTAATAACTCCTGTGCAGGGAGGTTTGTGTATTAGGGGGCATTGATGCTATTAAATTTTGTTGGTTAAAGGTGAAGAGAATAGGGAGAAGAGGGGGTCATGTGTCTTATCGCGTGAGGTCATATTTAACTTAATGAAGCTTTCACTTGTTAGCATTTATAATTTTTTTTATTTTAATAAAATTCATTAAGCTTTTTACCATTTTATTATAATTAATAATATAAAAAGTTTCTTAAAATAAAATCCCATAATACATGGCACCACACAATTTTAACTTTTTTGTTGGGAAAGTTATACAACTCACTGCTGGATTTATCCTTACCAGATAACAGTTAGTCTTTCAATATCTATTTAGCACATCACTAAATGAAAGTACTTTATAATCATAATTTGATAGCACGTTATTTTAATGTGACGATAAAAATTAAAATTTTTGATCAAATTTCCCAATTATAAGACAATATTACATTAATTATTATTGTGATTTTTTTATATTAAATATATTTATATTAAGTATTTATTAACTGCTTTCGTAGTAATGTAAACTCAGAGAAAGAACTTACATTAAAAACTAAATATTTAGTGTATTTATTATTTTTAACACAAAACTGAATAAAGAATTTATCACTTTAAAATTAAAAATAAGCTTTAATAATTATTTTAACAAAAATTTTGTGCTTAAATATGATTATAAAAATATTGAAGATGCTAACAAAAACTCTTACTATTATTATATTTTTAATAATTTATTGTCTTTTATGTTATATATAGGACAGGATAATCATTTTGGAATTTAATATATTAATAGGCATCCTTTTAAAACAAGTACTGTACAGTACATAATGCATTTACATGCATATATGAATCGTATATATATATATATAATTTATACAGTTACGTCACACTGGATGATTTTTATCACTTTTCCTTCCTTTGTATTTTCATTGCAGACATTTTTTTTTCTTTTGTGTATACGAAATACATATTGTGTGTGTGTAAATAACAATTACAGCTGTGAATAAGATGGGTGGGACCTCATCAGATGTAAAAATTGCTATAAAAAACAGACCCGAACCGACAGATGTAAAAATGCTATAAAAAAACCAATGGACTACTTGTGTTATGCATATATAATACTTATATTGATATCAATAGAATACAGTGAGATATAACTTTGTATATAGTCTAGATAAGTAACTACTACATATGGAATACTTATCATCATTCAGTGTATATTATTGGATATATGAGTGTATAATAAATTTTACGGATTGAGATTAATCATTATCGTGTAATGTTTACGTTAAGCATGTCAATGAATAGCATTATTCTTACTATGTTGGGTTCAGAGCCTTCGAAAGAGGATGTTGGAGATTTTTCCCTGGGCTCGGAGGAAAATCCCCAGCTTCTCCTTATCTTCATAGGGAAAACTAGGGATTCTCCCTCCGTTACCTTCTGCCCCACATAAGATTAGGGGCCCGCTCTAACCCTACCTCTGCCCAAGCTCTCGACGGTCCCAGTTAGGCTTTACGAATTACCAAATTTAGGCAAACCCGTTTCTCTCAATGCTAACGAAATAACAAAAGCTCGATCGATAAATTATTTATCATTGGATTATAAGAGAAATCGGAATTGTAAATGACGTTACTTTAATATATAAATCATTTCTTACCGGCTTATCTGTCGATCGCACGTCATTCAATAGATAGCGGCATTACCTCGACGACAATCGGATTTATCGCATTGTTTGGGCGCCATTTACGGATTCCCGCTTCGTACGGAGACCGATCCGATTGACAAAATGCGTCGTAACGAGCCGACGATTATCGAGCGAGTGGACTACGTGCTGCGAAGAGCGATGGAAATGGAGTCTTCCCTTTACTACTACTACGGCAAAACTGAGCATGCGCGAGACGTTATCGTCTGCTTCCAAAATTTTCTTTTATATTTTTTTTTTGTCGAGTGTTTTTATTCAGTTTTTATCCTAGTTCGACGCGTCTCTAATAACGGCGGGAGTATTTTTAAACCGATAAAGTATTTCGTTAAGGTATAATAATAATAATACCGATAAAATAGTTCACGGACGTCAACCTGTGGGTTGCTGTGACGTCACCGATAACGCCTTGTACGAGGAATTCACGCACAGTCATTTTAAGGGATTTTAGATTCATTAATTAAAAGTTAGTAGTAGTTAATGGCTGAAAGGATTTTTTTTTCTAAGTAGGAATCAAGTGACAAGATCGCTAGCGCGAGTTGAATTACTGCACGGACTTAGACGTCACGCCTTATTAAGCAAATGTGACGGGCTCCGTCACGTGTTTTTTTAAAGGTGGAGGGCGCGCGCCGGGATTAATTGGAGGAAGTTTTTTTCTGTTGCATCGAATTTCGGAGCGACGGCGAGAGATTTTTGTTTCTCCGTTAGCTTGTTGTCGAAAGTCGAACGTGACAAACTGTCGATTTTTGCACTTATTCGTAGGAATTGAAGGTGAAAGATAAACAACGTAGGGTCGGTCTAGTAATTAATTCACGCTGATGTTTTCGTAAAGGGGAACGAGGTAAAGAGAATAACGGTAGTTATAAATAAATAAAAAAAAACTAGGAGGTTAATGCTCGATTGCGTCCACGTCCCTACCGTTTTTATTCTATAAACTATGTCATTGTCATTTATCATTCAGTTAGAGCTTGTTGCAATGAAATGTACTGTACCTTTGATTTATGTAGTTGACGCACAGTCTATGTTGATAACTTTCCATTATTTTGTGCCATTTGTTCGTAAAGGTGCTTCTTGTATCGATTTAAAGTAAATTTAGGAGTATTTTGATAATTTATGGAATTATAGAAAGTGTTTATTATACACGGGTCTGAAGCTATAATGTGTAATAGGCGCTTCCCCTCCACCGACTAGTGTTATGTTAAAAAATGCAAGGCCCTAAACTATGGACTTATCGTGTGAGGCTCCGAGCTGCAGCTTGTTTAAATGGTGTGCAATCTGGCTCTGATTATACTGGATGTCCGAAAAGTTACTGTGTAGTGAGAAATTTGTAATAGCTTAAATTTTTATGTACGTCATGGTACGCGAAACCCGTAAGTCGTATGTCTCGTGTTTCCGCTTTATTGTAGGTGGGGTTACCACATGCTTGCTTGCGCGTATTCTGGTTTCTCGGACTGCGGTTTTTATAAGACTTCTTCGTCAAATGCATAATCTTCCATGGAATCTAGCCCACTAGGTTTCCTGACCTCGCTCCCCCAGATTTTGGAACTTTGGGGACGTTTCTGGCATTTGCTGTAGGAGAAACTGCAATATTGTACATAAAACTTCCCATTTATTAATTAATTGAAACAAACCTTTCCACTGCACAGTATTTTTTGGACACCCTTTACAAGACTAAAATTGTTGGAATTGTAAAATTTAAGAACATGCATACTTCTGTTTAATTAAATATATATATATGACACCTTTGAATTTATACATAAAATGTATTTACATGTAAAGGCTTCATAAAATTTTGTTTAAAATTGCAGAGATACAAATTGAATTTAATAAATGTTATAGTAGTTGGTTAAACTGTTAAAGTTCTTGAGGTAATAAGCATTTTGCTGGTCTTAATGACTTTTTGTGAAAGTATTTATTTACTAAGATAGGCTACAGCTATCTAATTTTTAATCCATTACAGTTTACATTAATGATAAGATAAGTTTGAAAGCTGATACCTTATCCTAATTAGTTTATAAATATTTGTTAAACGTGTATTGTGTCTCTGTTATATCTTTGCATGCCACAAAATGAATAAATTGTTAAATGTATATATGTTAAAAATTTATTTTAAGAAATATTTAGTAACATTGAATTTCATATTTTTGCAAGTGATAGATGAATAGATTGTTGTAAGCACGTAATGCAAGAATGAATATATTTAATTATTTTATTCACAAAACTAATATGTGCAAGATTATTTATAGAAGAAAGTTATTAAATTTTAAACAATAAATTTATATATTACAAATGCATGGTTACTAAATCTGTAAAATAGATTGTAGAAATGGATATATTATTGTGTTAATGAATATTTATACAATTTCAAGTTTTGTATGTCAAATACAGAATCTTCCAAAAAGAATTCTACCATTTTAAATTATTGTAATTATGTTAATCATTATCGGAGGATGTCGTAACACACATTAAAATGTTGGAAAACTGCCAAAGTTTCGTATTTACCCATTACAGTTTCTCAGTGCTTGCTACAGCATTTCCGACTTTGCAAACTGGAGAATACAAAATGCTTTTTCTGTTGCAATCTCCATTTTTGTTTACGTGCATACTAGAGACAGTAGACAATGATATGTTATAATGCTGATGGGAGACGAAACTTGGACGGTTACTGTATTGATTGGTGTAAGTCAAATACATCTCAGATGATAATTAACATAAATACAGTAATTTAAAATGGTAGCATTCATTTTGGAAGACCGTATATTAATGCTATGAAGTTTAAAGAACATTAATGTTTTTGACTCATTAATAGGCCATCTTCCAGTGTGGACATTTGAAAGTGGAATGCCTGAATGAAATGGGATATTCCACCTTCAACTGTCTGTATCTGAAGATGGCCAAGTAATTGGATCAGAAATGCGAGTTCTTTAAACTTCACACTCTTGTAAACGTGCATTGATTAATTCAGCAGAGTAACTCTGATGGTTAGTTCATTCTTATTGATAAAATATATAAACTAAAATATATTACTTATAATATAAACTTGTAAAATATTTCTTAACTAATTTATTTGAAACTTTTTGTATGGTAATTTATTCTTACATAATATAAAATTGCATACAGGATGAATCAAAAATCTATTTGCGGGAATTTTTTAAAAATCAATACTTTTGTTATTGTAGGTGAAAAGGAAAAGAATATATCCATATTCAGTTAAATGGCATTAACATAAAGCACATTTTATAATTTACAAGTGACAAATTTGGCTCTATGTATAAACTTTCAAATTTATTTAATATTGGAAGATATAATTCTAAAATAAAGTTCATTTTACACAGATTTTCAGTTAAATACTATTTCATTGAAGTTTTGTTGCTTTTCATTTTTATTTACATCTGGAGCAGGTTCTCGACCTTTCCATGGCCACAGAACATCATTCATATACTTTTTATTACATGGAGCTTTAGTGTCAATATATTCAAAAATCAATAAGTGAGTCCACATTTACAGTTCTCGCATAACAATGAGACAATAAACTATTGTATTGAATAAAATAGAATGGAATTGTCTACAATAAAATAATGTGTTATAGTACATTGAAATAAACTTGTAATAAAAACTAAGATCTTTTTTCTCTTATGGAATACTCTGGCCCACAAACTTGCTTTAGAGGCAAATTTTGTTACAGATAAAAGTGTAAAACAGTTTTCTCCATATTTATCTTATTTTCATTCTTAAATATGATTTATTTCTTATTTACAATACTTAAAACATTTGATTTAATGATGTTTATTTTGTATAAATTTACTGGTTTTGTAAGAATTTAAGCACCCTTTGCTGCCTTTTAAAAATGAATTCTAATTTTATCAAAAGGGCTTATCCAATATTTATTTTATGTGATTTTTAGACTTCTTTTGTAGAATGTAAAAAAATGAAAAATTGTTCTATTGAAAGAGATTAAGGAAAAGAAATAATATGATAAGCATCAGTAGTTTAAGACAAAAAATAATTGATCTTTTTATGAATAGAAAAAAATTTTCTTCACCGTTAACTGATTGACATAAAAAAGTTTGCTGAAATTGAATAAAATGTACTTTTGTTTAACCTTGAATTTTTGATAAACTGTAATCACATCAAATTCCTGCTTTATTGGAGCACGTAAACAGATGTTAATAATTGCTTAGTATAATATTTTCAAGCTTCGTCAGCTCATCTTTGACGGACGCAAATTCCCGAACCGAGCCGGTGAAAGTATCGGGAGCTATTAAAAACTGTTTTTATGCTCTAGTAAAGCAGAAATTGGTGTAATGTGGCTTTTTATTATTTGCTTAAGTATGAATATTTCTTATATCGTCCAGTTGTTAAGTGAAATACCTAAATTCCGTCGTAAATAATTTTTTTTACATTTAAGAATCATATATAATTTTTTTCTGATGAAATGAGCAGATAGACAGACAGGAGAAATTTTTAAATTTTAACATATCTGTTATTTATATCCTTGAATGTACAGGAAATGTTAGCAGAAAGAACAGCCAAGAACTTTCATACAATAATTTGTCACTAATGTAAAGATCATACTTAGATTAGTTGATATATGACAATTCTGTGCAATGTAATAATAATATTTCTTAGAAAAACTGGTTGGCCTTTATTTCTAACATCATCAATCGAAATTGATGTGATGCAAGACGCAAGTCAATGTACATTTAATCTGTAGATATTTTCATGATTTGAATATTTAAATTTTCTGATATTACAATATACTTTGTATAGTAAATTAATAAATAATCATTAAAAAAAATCTTACTGACACAAAGAATTTTTTTTTTGTTTCTCCTGCCGCAAATAAATGTTTTTTTTTTTTTTATATATATGAGCTATTAAAAAAAGTTAAAGTAAAAATTATATTTATCCCTTATTTAGTAAAAATTGAAGCTTTCTCAAAAGTTCATAATAATTTAATGAGAAATGACTTTGGATTTCTTTAAAATATTATAAAATGCTACCTTTGTTGGAGCTCACTCTAAATATCAGTTGCACTTTGCCTAAGCTCGTCATCAGGAAAGAGATAGAGAGATGAGCGAAGAAGCTTTCTGCCTCCCGATGACAGACTTTGTTACCCAAAAGTGCTTGGGAAAAGCAATACTTAGAGTGAGCTCAAACAAAATAGATTTTTTTCTTATTTTGTTTGATTTTATCATTTATTATTTAATATCTGAATGAAAAAATACTCGTTGCAATAACAGAATTTATAGTGGGTTGTCCTTTAAGCTAAGTGCTTGCTGGAGTAGAGATTTGCAAACAGAAATAATAGATTTTGATTAATCTATGTTTTGTATACATGTTCATAAGAACAAGCTCAAGTAGAAGGAATAGTTACAAGTTTATTTGGTTTAGATGACCCTAAATAGAGAAACATTCCCAAAATTTAGTCTCTTGTGTACAAAACATGATGCAAAAGCAATAAAAAATTAATTTTTATCAAGCAAACAGCATAAATACTTTTTCAGCAAATATTTTTTAATAAAATGTTCAATGAAATGATTAAGAACAGTGGACACACTAGAAATATTTAAGACAACCTTAAATGGAGATTGTATTAACAACAAAAACTATAAAACACTCTTTTGCGTGGAGGTCATTGATAACCCCAATGAACGTGAGAGCTCCATACACACAAAGAAACTACAACTGATAACCCGTTTAATTTATATTTATTAGTATCCTGTTTTATATATTTTATGTTTATTATATATATTAATACAGTTATTCATATTTACTACTTTAAATGTGTTATGCATCAAGTAGAGTCTATTTTGTAATATTTTGTAGATAGAATGCTTGGTATGTTCCATTTTGGAATCTCACAAATTCAATTTTGGCAGCTAAACCTGAAGAAGCTTATTAAATAAGCTAAAAACATTTACTGGAAAAATATTTATCGCGTTTGCTTGGTGAAATTTTATAGAAACTATTGGTAATTATGATTAAAGTTTCTTTTGTTAAGAGTTGGAAAATATTTTTTTTTTTTTGTGTGCAAGATAAATTCAACCAGTCCTGTAATTGTTAGTTACAGTACCAAGCACCATTGCTATTAAAAATTATATTACAACTGTTATTTCAAGGAAAAATAAGAGATTAATACAAAGTTTTGGATTCACAGTATAACAAAGGTATTTCTACCTACAGAAGTAATAAAATGAAGATTTATTATTACATATAAAAATAAGTAATTACAAGACATGTTTATTATTTCAAGTGTAAAATTTATGAATTCCGACAAATTACATTATCACAATTGGCCTTGAATATCTTAGACTGATAAATTCTGTTTATAATGAGAAAATAGAATTTCTGCAATAAAAGGATGGGAGAAAATTGAAACAAAAAGTAATTTAATATACTATAATTAGCTGTCTTCCAGAAGTTTGTTGTACTGCAACCATCAATGTGACCATGTGATGCCAGAAACATTTTTATTATGATAAGTCACATTGTAGCAGAACTAAATATATTATTATTACTTTGTTAAATTGATTCAGTATAATAGTCCCATTTTCTGTGGATTGCTGCATTCCATGTTATAACATCACAGGAAAGTATTATAGTCGTGATGAATTTGACCCTCTGGATATTTTTCAAATCTCGATGTTGCAAGACTACCTGAACCCAAAAAAGGAAAAAATTCCATGGATGTGTATGCACAAGCATGTTGGCATCTACTTCATGTAATATCTCAGGATGGGGTAAAGATTAAGAAACAAAATTTGCTATGGTAACTTTTATATAAAGGGCATTGGCGCTATTAAATTTTGGTGGTCAAAGGTCGAGGTGTGAGGTGATAGAAGTAGTCTTGTATCTCGAATGTGATTTAAATTAATGAAAATTTTAATCGTTATTGACAATTACAATATTTTTAAAAAACATGTTATTTGGACATTTAAAGGTCAGAACATTCCAATTTTGAAACACTTTCTGAAGCAGGCCTGTAAACTAGGCTAAAAACATTTGTTTTTAATAAAATATTTCTAGAAGACATAAGGAAGGTGTGAAATTAATTTTTAAAAACTTGTCTCTACCCTCAAAATTAAGCCTTTTTTTAAAATAATAATAATAATAATAATAGTATAAAACATACTTAAAATCTTGTAACAGATGGTACCACTTAACTTTGTGATCAAGTTAGGAGCAGGGGTCTCGATTAACTACATATGAACTTCTAGTTTGCACCGGAAGTCGAGTTATTTTAATTCAAAAATTTTTTCCTGAACCGAGTTAAATAGATGATTGGCACAACTCTATTTTTAACAGGAAAAGTATGATGTACTGGAGCAAGACGCTACTGAAATTGAGAGAGCATTGTGACAAAAAATTGCAGCTCGACATTGTAACTGTCACAATAAATAGTTGCTCATCTATATATATATAAAAATGAATGTATGTCTGTGTGTCTGTTCTTCATGCATTACCACACCGTTTATTTGATTGCCATGAAACTTTGGGAAGTTGTTTAATATACTCCCGCAAAGGTTTCTGGCATAGTACGATTGCCATAAAGCTTTGGGAAGTTTTTTAATACACTCCCGCGTAGGTTTCTGGCATAGTACATTTATCCTACGATAGATGGCGTGAGTGTATACGAGCATTTTACTGTGTGTTCGATCAATTTCAAATTGTGAAGACCATTTCCCCCCTCAAAAAAATATCTCTATATGCATTTGTGAACTGTTATTTATGATATTTGTAATAATTTTTGTTTAAATAATTATATAATTAATCACTTTATTTCAACTTTGTTTTTGCTAATTATGTATTAGCTCGAACGTTGTTAAAACCTTAACTGTATCCCGAACAACAACTGAAGTTGTAGGAGGAAATTCACCTATTTTACCAATCTAGGGATCCCCTTTTCCAAATTTTAAAATCAACTCAAAATAATTTAAAAAGACAAATTACAATAAAACGATTTACTATCCAACTATCAGATATTTCACAACATGCCAAGGAAGAGAGGAAGGAGCAATTAAATAATTAAAATTATAAAGGATTAAAAAATATATATAAAAATGGGGAATATCATGCTTCTGACAATTGCTGCAAGTGTGTGGGCTAGATTTGGAGAATCCGTGCTTCTCGCATGGACAACTGCATGTAGCCAGTTCACGCGTCGGAAAACCTTCTGATTTATTCGTGTATGCACCAGATGGAAAAACAAAAAATTTTGTGTATCCACAAGCACTCCAATAAATAAATAGAATTGAAACGACACTTTGAAATGTTTTCCCGATGAAAATGAATAATAATAATAAGTTTCAATAAAAATGATAAAATGTAAATTGAATTTTATCATAACGAGTTTGCTTGAATTTCCTTTCTTCTGAGATCGCAGCAATGCGAGATGGATAAGCTAGTTATTTTATAAAAATTAATGCATTGAATTATACAATTAGCAGAGTTAAACATAGTTTAGCAATTGTAAAGATAATTGATTTTTCTTTAACTTAAAACTCAATTTATTATCGTAATTTACTGCTTGTATCTACTAATCATGGAGAATTAATTTGTCATTGATTTAAATACATTATTTAAAGAAAAAAATTATATCTAATAATACATATAATTATTTACTTTTTGAGAAGTTTTCCTTTTACTTGACAATTTAAACATGTGCATCCATAATTTATAGCTTAATAAAATGTTGGAAACAACATTTCTTATATATTTTTAGTCCACTGGGTACTAAGGGAGCCTATTTTCATATCTGTAGTGGATGTGATCAAACTCTTTATAGGGAGAATTGAGAGTCAAGGGAGTGTGTCTTGCTTATTGGATGAAACTATCTGAAAATTTGAGTATCCATCATAGATTTGAACTGTCATTTCCAAAGCAGTTGGTTAATACTTTATAGCTTGCCTGCCCAGTTTTTATTTAATCATTTCTGTTTTAATATTAATGATTTGTAAGATGGAATAATTAATTTATAGAACAAGAACAGCTTGTTAGGACTGCGGAACTTTTGCTAAATTATAAAATCTCTTTTCCTTCTTAGGTGCTAGAAGAAGTTTGTAAGAAACAAAATCTAAATCCTGATGATTATGATCTCAGGTACGCTACTATTGTAATCACAAATATATGTATTTTGAAACAAACAATTAATTTTAAATCTTTACTTTTCCAGACATTACAATAAGAAAGTTGATTTGAGTTTGATAATAAGATTTTCTGGATTTCCAAACAATGCATTATTCGAACTGGCTCCCGTTGAAACGCGGCGGATCGAAAACGACATTACGGTGGGACTGCAGATGGAGTCCGGAGAGAGGCTGATGCACGATTTTAAACCATCAACTAATCTATGGGACATTATCTGCCACTGGAAGAAAGAAAAGTATGTTTTGTAATATGTTTTATCAATTTTTGAGTTACAAGGCAGTATTTTAGAAGAATGCAATTAAAATTTAACAATTTATTATACATAATTAATCTATTTTTTAAATCAGTTGTGTTCTTAGCGTATGACAGTTCTGCCTGGAGAATTTTACTGGTTGAGAGGTCTTGCATAGTACATTAAAGTTAATATACTAACAATACAGTTTTGGAAAATTAATTTGATTTTAAAATATGTTAAAATTCATAAATTGAAGAATTTCTTACACAGTTAAATACTTCAGAGAATGGATTCTTTCTTCTATTTTTTGACTATTTTAAATACAACACTTCAACACTTATCAATTTTCCATAGATTATGCATAATCAGAGCCAATAGGAGAGATTAATGAGACAGTTGCCTCATTTTCTATTCTTTTTTCAACTCTGGTTAAGTTTTCGCATAACCAAAGCCAAGTTCTCAGCTTTGGTTACACTAAATTAAAAAGATAGAAGCAACTGAAGAGCATTTTACTATTTTATTTCTTAAATTATATCAGAAAGATGGCAAAGCTTTAAATTATATCAGAAAGATGGCAAAGATGTATTGTATAGAAATAAATACAATAAAAGTAATCAAAAGAAGTAAGTGTACAACTTTAAAATTAAAATACATTACATATTTAGACCAATACTTCTTAAACTTTAGACCAGTGTTTCTCAACCTCTAACGAATCGTCGCCCCCTTCAATAAAACCGTTACCTATTATCGCCCCCTTCACTTCAAAATTCCGATGCCGAGGACCATGACTAACGCCAAATTCTTACTGCATTGAATAGACTAGTGACTAGTATAATGTTATTTGTTTAATTATTGTACGATATAACGAATAAAATATCTAATTATTCTTAATATAATGTTTTACTATATCGCCCAGAAAATTGTTTTTCGCCCCCCAAAATATAAATTGTTACTAATCGCCCCCTCTACATGGAAAAACGCCCACATGGGGGCGATATCGCCCCCGTTGAGAAACACTGCTTTAGATGATTAGTGCAATGGATCAGAATTTATATTACCATGCAATGTTAGTTATTGTTGATTTTATCCATTAAAAGTAAATTAAAAAATTTAATTTATGATTAATCAAACACATAATTTAATGTATTCTCGCAAAAGCTTGAAAAGCTACTCGTACAGAAGATCATTTTTAAATACTTAGTCATTCATAGGAATTTGTGCAGTTTACAATATTGCCAACTCCTTGTCTAAATAGCTTACATTATTAATTATATAAAATCATTAATATGTATATTTAAACAATATATTTTTTCATTTAACAGAGGAGAACTAAAAAACGATAATGAATTTGGTGAACCAATCTGTATTTATATGAGGAAGGAGGTAAGATATAAAAAAAAAAATAAATTGTTAAAGTTTTTTCTTATATTACATGTGAGATGTGTTGTTATAATGTAAAGCTGTTGATTCATCTTATTATGATTATGATTACAATAATGGATATTTCTGTAGTTAGTTGGCGAAGAAACCCTTAAGAGTACAACACTTAGGAATTTAGGATTGACGGGTGGAAAGGCAGTAATAAGGTAACTAGCCATGCTTTCTAATCTTAGATTAATAAATTCAATGATTTTAAAATCTCTTTGAATTTGAATATATAATTTTAGAATATTGTGATTTTACACCTTATGTACTCAAAAGGTGTTAATGTTAATTTTTGAAATAGGTTTCTGTACAGGCAGCCTGATACATTGAAAGAACAAGCACATGTTTGTGTTCCTCTTCCCAAAACTCCTAAAATCGATATCGAAGAAAGTATACCAATTGACAGCTTAGATAAATCAAATTGCAGGATACCTTCCAATCAAAATACTAGTACAAATAATGTTTCTAAGATATTTCCTACAGTTGGTCAAGTTCAAGAAGGTATTATAAGGTTCATTGGTTATGTGATACGAAAGCTTTTATTTAACTTAATAACTAAAAATTATATTTAGTTCCTTCTACCGGTGATCATTCGACTGATCAAGTTATGATTGAAGAAGAATCTCATCAGGTCACAGAAGAAAAACAGGATGAGGTGATGGATGATACTACTGTAACAGAAATTGAGAAGGTACCTGTTGAGAATGTAATCCATGTAAGTATGATTGTTTAATTACTTCTGTCTTCTTTCATGGATAACTGAGTAACTGATGTAATAGAACTGATGTAAACAAATATACTCTTAGAAATTGTAATAAAATATTGTTACCATCTATTAAAGATAGAGGGTGGGGCATATGTATGTCCTGGCAGAAAAATTAAATTGTTTAAGAGGTACAAATCAACTCGGTTCAAATTAAATGCAGTTAGTTAAGTAGTAAATGGATTACAGATTACAATTTTCAAAATGTTTGCCTTCAGACACAACCAAATTTGGTAGGCATTCCTAAAATTAGTCAGTAATATGGTGTACCATTGTTGAATTTCCTTTAGTTGCATCTCTCATGCACTCCTGTAAAATCTGTCTTCATTGGAGTGACACATAATTTATCTTTAGTTGTCTTCAAATATTGCAAAGTCTAGGAGTTTAAATCGGTGCTATATGGAGACCATTTGATACTGTCTCTGGCTTTTCTGGTGCATTCAGAGCTATCAGTCTAGGACAGTGATTTTCAACCAGTGTGCCGTGAGAGGTTCATACATAATGTGGTAAAAAATATATAGTCATAAGCAAAACACTGGCTTATTTCATTTCAAATGAAATTTTCTTTAAATCAAAAATGTATCTATAATCTTCATATTTCGTTCAAATTATTTTAGCTTAGAAATAGTAGGACATTGGGCAGGTTTCTAAAGGCAATTATCATGCCACTTTTAAATGTAAATTAAGACTTAATATTAATTGCTTTTCATATGTAAATGAAAATTATTAATTTAAATAACTGTTGTTGTAACCTACTGCTATTTTAAGGAACAATACTGTTTCATTTAATTCACAAAATATACACACAAAGAATTAGGTTAAGTGGCAAGTAATATAGCAGTAGAATGTTTACAAACACAGCTTTAAATAACGTGATTTTTTTCTGTGTAAATTTGTGCCACAGAAATTTAATTATAGGTTCAAGTGTGCTGTGAGATTAAAAAAAGGTTGAAAAACACTGGTTTAGCACCAAATATTTGTTTGAGGTTGTCAAACACAAGTTATTTCTAACAAACTTAAAAATTAAAGTGTTTTCCCATCAGAACATACAAACGTTCCACCTGTATGTGTCTGAATGAGTTTCTATTTAAAAAGAATTTACATTGACATATTAAGGAATTGGATATTGACTGTATGTAAGGGATTATATGTAAACTGTCAATGAAGAAGTTAGATACTTAATTAAGTAATTAATTAATACCCAGCTAGATGCTTCTTAATTTCCACAACAGCACCTTATTTCACTTAGAATTATTTATTAACTTCAACAAAAGTTTTGTTAAAGATGGCATGTAGAACAGGTTAAAATGTTTGTTAAAGTTAATAAATAATTCTCAGTGAGATAAATAAGGTGTTGATGTAGAAATGAAGTTAAAATTAATCACCCACAAGAAACAAAAGCATTTGTGTAATGGAAATTAAACATATTTCTCAAAAATATCCTGTTTATAATAAAATTAATATACAGAATAAGTGAAATCTTGATTAACTTTTTTCAGCATATTAAATATTAATATGTTTTGCTGTTAAAAGAAAGTTTGGAGAATCTCTTAAAGAATCAAATTTATGTCTAAAATTTGGAATTTTATTCTCTGTTGTTAGTATAATTATATGATTTATATTAATATTTGAGTACTTTTTGTAACCAAAATACAAACCAGAAAAAACAAACATAATGTCTTAAGAGTTGGAATTATTAAATAACAATAAACAACACAAAGTATTTTCTATAATTGTATGAACTTTCACATGAAAATAAATAAATTGTAAACATTACGTTATTAACACGACTTTTAAATTTCCTTATTTTCATTTATTTACTCAAATAACTTGTTCAGATTTGGTGTGTATTTATTGTTTCTTAACTGTAGTAATGTTTTCAAACTTTTATTTCTTTTCTGGTATTAATTTTTAATAAAGTTTTATTGATGAAAACAGTATAGATAAAACAACGATCAAAATGGAGTGATTGTTGCTACAACATAAAATTAAGAAAAATTATTATTTTTCTAGCCTATAATTTACATATTATAATCAGTTTCCAATCATTGGTTTATGTGAAATCCGCGATTTTTACGCCGATGTCGGAAAAATCTTTGTAAACAACTCCGATGGAAAAACCCACTCTTGGTGAGAAGTATATCGGAGGTCACCGATTGTTTTCACATTATGATGGGAAAGTTGACAGTTAGTTGATCGGAATGCACCGTAAGTGTCAACTGAAGTTGATCACGTGCCTCATTTCCCACGAATAACGTATAAAAGCTCGAGTCCCCGAAAACTCAGAGCGATCCCTCGGAAGTTATACTTGGTAGATGTGCCATATTTGTCTCCATACTCCGGACCGAAAGGACATACGACCAACCACAGCCGTTTGAACTTCCATCGCCCTTAACGAACATATTCAACGAACGCATTTTAGACATATCGGCATACAGGTATCTGTACTTTTTAGAGCTTTGTGAACTCTCTCTCAGACTAGCAGGTAAAGCTATTAGAGCGTCCCTTTTGTACAGTGAATTTATTTAATCGCATTTAACCTATGTATCCTAGCTTAGTTATATAAATAAATGCTTGTTTTGTTTTTAAACCTGTCTCCTGTCTCTGAAGGACACCTGCCGACTTACCGACGCACTCCCCACTCAAATTTTTGCCCTCCTAGCCATCCGACTAGCCGAGAACGGGTTTTACCAACCTGTTGCAGAGTTAGTGGTCATTTGGGATGAGCCCAGTGGCCCACTGCTAATCTCACATTTACATATTGAAATGGACTCTCATCATCATGGCTCTCAGACAACCACATGAGGCCATGGCAAACTTTAAATACTGTTTGGATGCGAGTCAATAAAAATTGACCAACTCCAATTCCTGTTTTCTTTTATGTACTGTACTTTATATTAAGTATATAATAGGAGCATTAACCTCCTATCTTACATTATAGTATCCTCCTGTAGTGTAAGATCTTATTTTGTGATGACTCCCCCATTTCATAATCTTTCTTTGCATAGTAACTAATTACTGTTGCTTTTCTTTTTAGAAATTTATATTCAAATACATTCTGCATTAGCTAATTTCAAATTTTTATTGTCACGGCACCCATAAGAAGACTCTGGTTAAATCTAGTGTTTTTGAATACTTTATTGTAACCATGGATAGAAAATATTTTGTTTGTCATTATGTGATTGAAGATGAATATAATAGTGGTGATAATGAAAAACTTTGTGAAAAAAGTACTTTCAGTGTTAGGAATGCTTAATGATTCATTTAAAAAATGCTTAAAACATAGCCTTATGATTCATTTTGTAATGACTAAATCCATTCTGGGTTAATATAATCAAAATATATTTTAAATTATAATTTAGAGGCAGGAGTCTGAGTTGGTGCTTCTAAAATTCTATCTATTGATTTTAAAATCAATTTTTTAAAATTATAGATTGGAGAAAGAAATGCTGTCTTGTTTAATCTAGAAGATAATTTACCTGGAATTACAGGTAAGCAGATTTTTGTCTGTTCAAATAAACTTTCAATTTTTATTTTAAACTAACAGAAAATAATCTTAAAACAATAATAAAAATCAAAAATTAATTCTTATATAAATTTTAAAATAATAATAATGCGTCTAAAGCTTATTAACTGTTATTGTTTAGATGATTTACCGGATGAGTTTTACGAAGTCACGATTGAGGACGTGAAATACATGTTTCACGACTTGACGAGGAAAAGGTAATATATTAATACTATTTTATAAAATATTAATTAATTAATAATTATTATATGTTATGTATTTTATATTTTATCTGGAATGTAATTATTTATCAAAATTTATAAATTGTTCTATGAGAAGTTTTCTTTTAAATTCTGGCTGGTCAGATGGCTACACAGTAAAGTTGGCTCCACACATTTGGTATCTGATGATTGAATAATTGCCCATTTGTCTGCTTTGATTTGGCATGATATACCACAAGGAGTGGGAAATGGAATATATCAAGTATTGCAAGTAAATTGTCCATACTACTTGATATTGGCCAAATATTTGCTTGGCATTCAGCAAATACTGAATGTGTGGAGCAGCCTCAAAGTAACTCAGTTCAAATCAAATCATCTGCAGCTACTCTTGGTTTGAGTACAGTCCAGACTCTAACTTATCTTAATTGATGATAGTCATTCCCTATCCTTCAACCATATTAATTGACTATTATGCATTAAATGAATCAGTTTATTTAATTTCCACACTAATTCATTGCTTTATCTAAATTTCTAAGATATAAATCTTACATTTTAACTCAATGTAAGTTACAGTTTTAATAACACAGACTTGAATAATATGAACTTTTATATATTAATTTGAATGGAAGAATTCTGAGTAATTTTCTAAATTATTGTATAATAATTTCAGGAGAGAATTAGAAGAGAAACCATTAGAAACTTCGACTCTTCGGGAACGTCGGCAGCAAACACAGCTCCTGTCTTATAAATTTTCAATCATTAGAATTTATTTTCCTGACAGATTTGTACTACAAGGCATCTTCCTACCGACGGAAACGAGTAAGTAATTTTGACCCTTAATTCACAAGCTCACTTCCTTACTTTTCAATGTATCTGCTTAATCACTTCAACTTTAACTCAATAACTGTGCGCCATTTTTTTCATAAAAATATCATATCAGAAAGAGAGTCTTCTACATAATAATTAAAATTAATTTTACTTACATTTTATATATAGAAGTGTGATTTTATTTTGTTTATTTAATTGTGACATGTGTGATTTTAGTTAAATATTTATTATAAAAGATGGGACAATTTCTGGTCTCCCTGAAATGAATGGCCAAACAGTATATGGGAGGAACACAATGGTATCAGTTTCAGGTTGGGAAACTAAAGGGAACAGATTGAAAATTGCACTTTTTGCACTTAACTTATAAAGACATATAATAAATTGACAGCAGAAGCCACTGTAAGCAGCAAGTATTTTCCTAATGCAAACATTAATTCTACCTTACAATAGTAGCATAAGCACTACAATTGCATAGAAGTGTTAGAAATTCTCAAAAATTAAACTTGTTCACCCCTCTGTGAACAAGTATAATTTTCGAGCAGTCCCCCAATTTGAAATTGGTAGATTGTGCTCTTGTCATCACAAGCTTTAATTTGATATACAGCTTAGGTGTTCCTTAGGGCAACTTGAATTGTCCAATACTTAACATTGTCCTTTAAACATTTATTATCATGCATGTTTTTATAAGACAGCTAGATGGACAAAGCATATCTGCTTTGGTTATCTGGATGCCTTATCAGGTGCTTAATTCCTTCTCTAAAGGATTTAAGTTTGGGTCGGGGTCAGATTGTTGGAAATTTTTCAGATTTATCTGACCTCAGGTAAATCTCTTGCCATTCACCATGTATTGCAGGCACAACTTAAACTTTTAATAGAAAGAGAACACACTTGTGGGTGGATATGCAGGTAACTGTTACAATGTATTACAAGGGAATGGGGAGTGTTTACAAAAACATTACGTAATGCTAGTCTTTAAATTGTCTGATGGAGTTTGTTAAATTTGTAAAGATTGGGTAACAGAATGATTCATTTTCATTTTTGAAGTATTGCATAGTGAACCACACCATTTATCATTACTTTTTGCATTATACATGTAAAAAGTAATGTAATGTTTGAGTACCCTGTGTCGTGCATTATTCCTTAGAATAATTAAGGGCATACACATCCTCAAAAATTATGTAATGGAACTGTAGTTGAAAAATATAAAAGTATAAGCATAAAAAGTTTTTGCATCTAAGCAGGATATTTTAAAAATTAGTCAACTTCATATTTTTTATGGGCCTTTAATAATTTTTCAACAAATTCACACAAACAAAAAAATCCAGCATTGAGTAGCTTAATTAACTTTCTCAGCAACATTTGGTGGTGCCACCTGTTGTGTTATTTAGTTAAAAACTTTTTATATTTTTTAACTATTATAAAATGACAAAGGGTTTAATTTTGTGAGTGGGGATGGGTTTTATAGAAAATTGTAAATGCTTAATAACGAGTAAAATTGTCATGAAGTCTGACCCTACTGGAGATACACATGACTGCCATTATCTCCACACCCCCTTGACCTTTAATCACCAAAATTTAGTAGTATCAATTCTAATACACAAACCTCCGACATATAAAATGTATAAGATAGCATAGATATGCTATAATCATTATTATTATTATGATGATGGTGTGATTGAGGGAGTTAATCGATTTGGCAAGTGAAAAAAGTAATAACATCAAATTCGGTCTTCACATAGTTTTTTATTATAGAGAAACTTCATTATCATGCATTTTTTATTAAAGATTTTCACAAATATGAATAACTGTTCTGTTACTGTTACAATGATGGTTATTATTTTGTTTAAATTGATTATTCAGCAACATAAACGATATCTTCTTTGTCAGATGTATTCTCATCATGTTGATTTGTTCTTAAATTTTTATAAGAATCATGTTTAATAGGAGGAATGAAACAAATTACTTTTAGTTTCATCCATCTTGATGTAATGGTATAACTTTTCTTTTTTCTAATAACAATTGCCACTGAAATGAAAACAGCCGTTTAATAATACACAAATATACTTACTTATGTGGCAGTTGGACTGTAACTAACTAATTTCTTTTACTTACTTTTTGTGATGAGATAACATTAAATAATTTACCTTTATCTATTGGGTTGTTCGGAAAGTAAGTTTGTTTTTTTTCTGTGGAAAAAATACAATATTTTTATAATAAATAAATATTTTATTGAATTATATATCGACCATTTTGGTCAAATACCTGTTGTCATCGTTTCTGGTAGTAACATGATTTCACATTCATAAAAGTTTTGATCGTTGCTTACAAAAAACTGATCCAAGTGATTTTTGACATTGTCATTTCAAGTAAATGTCTTAGTTAAAAAAAATTTGTATAGACCGGAACAAGTAATAATCTCAGTGTGCTTGATCTGGCGAATATGGTTGGTGTGATAGCATGTCCCATCTAAGTTATAACAGTTTCTGACGAGTTACCAAACTTGTGTGAAATTTGACATTATCGTGTGCCGGGCTGTGAACGGCTCACGTATTTGTAAAATCTAAGTGACTTGTACAACATGGAATTCATATAAAATGGAATAATCAACAGTGTTATAGGGGGGTCGATATAAAATGTAAAAACAATTTGAGAATTTTCTGATCAATTAAGATACAATTTAAATGCAATTTGTAAAAACTTGTAAGAAAGCAATCAAAAATTTAGTTATTCTGATTGGTTTCCAAATATTTATAAATACAAATAAATGCATCTAATTTTTTCATGTTGACGGGCTTTGTTAAAATAATTAATTTTAATACTGTTATATTATTAATCGAAAGATTTGCATTCATATTTAATAATACATAATGATTATTTACAGTTGGTGATGTTATGAAATTTATACGGAAGTTTTTAAATCGAGAAAACACAGATTTCTATTTATGTAAGACTCATGTTATACTAACTTTAATTTTAATGCTTTCGAGTATAATAATAATAATATATTCTAGATTTAACGCCGCCAAAAAGAATTCTCTCTTCGGACGCGGTATTATATCAGGTAAGAAATATTAAAATCTAAATACTAATTATGAAATTAGAATAATTTTAACAGTCTGATATTATAGGAGAAGCTAGTCCCAGCTGCCATTTTACATTTCGGAAGTGACAACAATGGTACTAGCTACCTACAGGATTGGGTCAGAGAGAAAGTATCTTCTCCTGATGCTGCCAAATATACTGCCCAATTGTCGAGGTTGGTTTTTATTTATTATTTCAACAATATACAAATTCGTTCTCACTAGTGAAATATTAACTTAAATATTATAGAGTGAAGAAACCCATGAAGGAAGAGCTGTTGGCATCATAAGCAACATCAGAAGTTATTTCTAAAGCTTCAGGTATCAAAATTTTAAATTATGATCAAACTTCAGTTTGGTAGCATTGTTTGTTTGCCTCCGAAATCAGCATTAATCAAGTGTACCTCAAATAATGAAAATTATAATGGGTGATTGAAAGAAAGTAGAACTTGCAAAAAGTAGCACAATGAGTTTGGCAATGACATAAGCCAACTATACAATGAAAGTTTCATCAAACTTCTCATGACTTCTATTTTTGTTTAATCACCCCATATACAGAAACAACCCATAAGTAAATAGAAAGACACACTTATTCTCAGACACTTTTATTCACAGTATCCACATGATACAAATGTCACATATGCATATTAAAATCTAGTATAAAATGTTTCTTGTTTGGATAACTATGTTAAATTTTCTATTGGCTATTAATATGCCTCAAGCCAAACTTACAATGACAAGTGACTTTAAGGCGACTATCTTATCGTATTAAAATCTAGTTGTTCCGTCATTTGCTTTCTTCAAAGCCTTAATCTGTCGAGTATGGAATCAATAACTTCTGCAATCTTGGCCCATAAAATGTCAGTCCATCAGCTTGCAAACAATATAAACATTTTCCATGGGAAACGGGTTTTTGTGAATATCTCCCTGCATGATATGGCAGATTCCAAATGCATTTGATGGGATTTGTGTTGGGTGACTGAGTGGCCAACAGATGTCCCACATTGCCACCAATTTTGGGTCTTTCTGGCAGTGTGACAAGGAGCCCCTCACACACGAATAGAGTGAATGTTTTGTCCATCAGCCCACTGGAGAATATTTTTCTATTTATTTTTGGGTTGTTTCTGTAATAGTAATGAGGTGTACATAAGTTTGATGAAACAATGGGTTCGGCTACTGAAGAGTGTGTGTATTTCCATGTTTATTGCACTACAAGGTTTACCTACATTTTGTGATTAAATCCATTATATATTTCAAATTCTCTATATAAAATGTTATAAACGTTTTCATCTTATGTGGGCAAAATATACTGATTTATTAATATTTTTGGTGTGATCTTAATTTCTGATTTTTATTTTAGGTTGGATCACAGTAAAAGATAAGAGGACAGCAGTATATTCTTACAACTTCATATAAAGACAAGTTCCATGCCTTTATACGAAGTCCAAAATACAAAGAACTTAATGCAAGACTGCAATATTTACTCATATAAAGTTTAGAAAAAGTATTACAGTTATTACTGTGATAATGTTTAGTTTTGTTGATATTTATGCATCTCAATTCTAACGTAAATTTGATACAACTTAAAAATAATCGAGCGCACGTCTTTCATTGGTCTATACATATATATATTTTTTGTGAAACAATTTATAGTTACATTCATATATTTTGAGAAATATTATTTGAGAGTTTGATGAATTTGTATAATAAAAATTTGTTTCAACAAACTTCAACTTTAATGAAATTAATATTCATGTGCTTGTGTGTGTTCTTGCTTGCTTCATAATAACAAAAGTTGTTTTGGAAGAGCATGTTACTTCTTAATTTTTGATTACAGTCTTCCAGAATGCATTGGGTCTCATCCACATCACCCCATTGCCTCCATCGTGGACATGGAAGAAAGGCTCTCTTAGTGCCCATGGGGCAGAGAGAGAAAAAAAATTGGTAACTTATTAAATTCATTAATACTACCTGCATTTGTAATTATTAGAATCATCTAACAAAAACTAAAATCAGAAATTTCTCCAAGATAATTTTTGAGGATCCGCTGACTACAGACAGAATAGTTATTGAATTTATTCTAGACAAATAGTTAAACTTCCAAACTAATTGAGATGTGTTAGGAGCAACACCTGAAAATTCCTATTTGTATTAAATGCTGTAATGAACACAATTTTAAAGCATTAACCAAGGAAAATACAATTTATAGATTTTTTTGTGTATAAATATAAATATTCAGAGCTACTTATATAAAAAGATGCAAGAGTTATATATACACTGATAGCTCTTACATCCATCTTTTCTTGCAATATATTTATTTTGACTTGCTAATTAAGTTTGCAGTTTGAGATTATTAATAAACGTGATGACTGCCAACTACAAGTTAACTTGTACATGACAGTTTCTTTTAGGACTATCTTGTGAATCGTGATCTGGAATAAGAATTAAAAATAATTGTGGCTTCACAGAACTGAATATTTATTTTGAAAAAGGTGAAAAAATTTACACAACAGAGTAAAACTTGTATAAACCAGAATCACACAGTACCAAATATTTTTTAGAAAGGTTTCCATTTTGAACAGTTTTTTTAAACAAATTTTTGTTTTTCTGTCAAATTTTTCAATTTTGTACATATTTGAAATAGCAAGCGCTTCTCTTTCATCCTTCCATTTACAAACAACTGTAGCTATTCTGTCACCAAACACATTTGATTTTTTTGCACTACTACTATTGGCTTGTTTTTCCAGATACCTTGTAAAATACTACATACGTAAGTCTTCCGAGACGTCAATAGGTTTGTCGAGTCGACAGAATTATATACCATACATGGACAGTTTTTATATTTCTTGTCTAAAAAACTTCTGTCAAATGTAAAATATTAGAGGTGTGAACTGTCGGTTGTGGTATCATTCTAGACTTGCCGCAATAAATTTTTTATGTCAAGAATTGGGCCATTTGATTTGTACAGTTCATAGAGCTTTATACCATATTAGCTGTTACCTGTGGCTTTGCCCGCGAGGATTTTGCAAGCAAATCCTCTTTATATTCAGTATTTCAACTGTAGTAATTGTTATATAACACCTACCACTGAGAATGATGAGAATTGCCGAGAATCAAACTATTTTCAATTTGATCAATTTTCTAAAACATTTACAATCATTCTATAATCAAACCAATATGCAATAACAAATCCGAATTTAAAACGGTTCGAACATTTGGTTAAAAAATCAAAATATTTATAACACTGTCTGAAATGTTATCAATTTAATACCCCTAAGTACTCAATGAAGTAATTAAAATCGCATCTAAAATAGTACAGTAGAAGCCATTTTTCCGGTTAAGCCTTAATCCTCTCCCTCGCGGGGGAATTTCAAAAAATCCCTTCTTAGTGTGCATTCCCATGGCATACCCTACTAAAACGCAGATAAAAACAAAATATAGCATCTAAAATAGTACAGTAGAAGCTGTTCTTCCAGTTAAGCCTTAATCCTCTCCCCCTCCCCCACCTAGGAATTTTGAAAAATTCCTTCTTAGTGTGCTTTTCATGACGTACCCTAACTGTGTACCAGATTTCACCACATACTGCCTATGAGCTTATTCGTATGAAATTTTTTTTGAGAAAAAATAAACATTAAGCAATCATATTATTTTAATGTTCTTACTATTTATTATTTTACTGGGACCCAGAGTAACTATAACTATAGTGTGAATAAATAGTTACAAATACTTTTGTTAATTTAGTCACTGTGATTCAGTGTAGAATACTGCACCAAATTTTTTAGTTTAATTTTTTCACTTCTTTCTTGATTTGTAAAGTGATTAAATCAAAATGGTATCGGGAGAATGATTTTGGCAGTCAACATGTCACTGAAAGGCAATAATCTCAACCTTGCAACATGACAACTTGTTCACCAAGTTTAACAGCAAGTGTCTCCACAAAATTAAGCACTGCAGTCAAAAGCTCTAGTTAATTTATGTGAATGACCGTAGATTATAGAATGTAGACTGTAGACATATTCTTGTACGCATAAATGTGGATAATCCACGGGTTAAAAGTCTATGCGAAACAAGTTGTGGATTACATGATGGTTTTTACGTTCTAGTAATCTTCCAAGGATTATAGGCACAAAAAATATGGCATGTAGTTTTATTTTAATGGTGTTATTGTGCTTATTGTGTTTTCATTATGTGATTTGAATGTTTTTGACATTAACATACAAAAGTTAGTGAAAACTTGTATCAGAAAATTATTTTAACGCTTAAGCATAAGATAAGGATTAATTTTATTTCCCTGAAATTTCACCTAAGGACACATTGTCCGATAAAGTGACTTTGATACGGCTACGGTCTGTCTATGGAATCAACTTGGCTTACCTATGAGCATTGGGTATCAATTGCTTAGTTGTGGTAAGTTTACTTTCGGTTTACTCCTCACATGTCGCTGCAGTTATGAACAGTATTATGGAAGCATCATGTTCTGGTTTTGAAATATGAGGAAATTTGCCATAGTAGTTACTTGCACGATTCTTTAAAGCTAGTGCATGCTATAGAAAATTGACAGAATGATTTTCCATTAATTGTGTTATCTATTGAGAGAAAATAAAATAAAATTTACATAGCACTTTTCACTCAATATGTCAGACAATATCATTAGGGAATATGTTGATTGGTTTAACTTATACAATATCATGTAACATAGCTCTCAAGTTGATTCTTTGCACAGACAGACTAGATAAGCAAATTAATAACAGTTCATTTCAATCAGACTATCACCAACTTGCTTATCCAGCTGTATTAAAGCTACTTTACTGGGCAGAGAGCCCAAGAAACTACTCATGTGACACTTCTTGGAATTTATTTGGTGAGGTGAGGCAATGCAACATGAGGACGGCAAAAATTATTCATGTGTAATTTTAAGAGAGCATAAAATCATTTCAAATAGTATTGATGTATCTGGATGAAAATTACCATTATAAAATGTATCAAATATTCTAGATTTAACTAATGTGTTCTTTTATGTAAGTTATTACTTGATGCCTATTGGGTGTTATATTGCTAATAATCTAGAATTCAAAAACACCTACCAACTTTCAATTCTGAGATGTAATCAAAGAGTTCTGAGAATGGGCATGTAAAAAGAAACCTTTGAAATAGTCTTCTGCATTGATTCCAGCTTTTCTGCCAAGCTCAGAGTGCTTCTTGGAAGTTTTGTTCTTAGAGAATGTTGAACAGAATCTGTGATTTGTGCTGGATGTCCTCTACTGTCAAAACTGCAACCCCTCAACTCAAGTTTCATCTTCTGGAACAAGAAATTGCAGGGTGCCAGATCTGGCAAGTATGGAGGTTGGGGAGCAACAATGAGTTTGATGCTCACTAAAAATGTGTGTGTATGTTTTGAGTACAATGTGAGAAGGATCATTATTGTGGTGGAGCACCTAATTGCCATTGTGCCACACTTGAGGTCTTTTGCATTGAATGTCCTCTCTCAGATGCTGTAGAACATCACAGTAAAACTCAGAATTCATTCCCATGGATCAGACAGTGAATTCTAAGTCAAAGAAAATGATAGGTCTTGAAGCATAACTAAAACCATGGCCATTTTGTCTTCTTTGGTCTGGTGAACTTTGCCATTCAAAAGATTGCTGTTTGATTTCTGACCCTTTTGAAGTGTGTATACCATTGGAAACACCTTGCTTGGTTCATTGTTTCATTGTCTTAGGCTTCCCAAAGCATTTCAAGGATCTGTTTCCAATTTCCAAAATTTCACACCATAGAATTTGATGTTAGCTCTCTGTTTCAGTTTCAGGTGCACTAGGACATCATCAAAAAACTTGTTTTACAATTTCCAACCAACACAGCACATTGTCACTTTGCATACTAACTCATGAAGGCAAAGTGCCTCTCTTGCTGCATGCTCATGACAGTGAAGTGTCTCGTGTTGCTACAAGGTCTCAGAACTTTTTGATTGCACCATGTATTTATTGTATTTGATTCAGTTGTCTTCACCAGCATGCAGCCATTATTACAACAGAACTGCAATTTATTTCATGTTCTATAGACTTCTTAAAAAGTAACCTTAAATTTATTTTGTGTATTACATACTGAAATCATTTCTTTAGAAAGTTCATGAACAGAATTTAATTTTCTGATAATAGTTAATAACCATAATTAAAAATCCAATGTACATTTACTTGCATTTGGTTCTCTTTAAGCTTAATGGTCCCAAGCAAGAAAGGAGAATAAATAATGTGTATCAGATCAATTTTATGTTGGCATTACTGGTCTAAAATGCTGGTAGTAACTTTTTGTATAATCAATCATGAGATCTTGGGTACATTCTGGTAATTCTCCAGAAAAAAGCCCTGGAAAAAAAATAATGTTACTTAAAAGTTAGAATTTTTACAAAAATTTTTAGCATTGGACTAACCTGGAGAGCCCGAGTAGATTGAAAAGGCTGGAACAACCGTTTCAGGTGAAAGAACTGTATCATCTGCAATCATGCAGCAGTCTTTCAAGACACATCTTCGTCCCTGTTAAAAACATAATTATAGTTAACTGTGTGCATACTGCCTTGCAAAAATATAATGCAGCAGCAAAACTTACAATGACACAATTTTTTCCTATATACACATATGATCCGATGTGGGCGGCATTTACGATCGTGTCTTCGTTAATGAACACGTGATCTCCAATGTGAAGAGGAAAAAATGCAACCCTGATCAATAAATTTGATAATATAATTCACTTGATTATTTTTTTATTATGTAAATTAAAATCATCTTAGCACATTTTACCCTTTGCTAAACTTCTTAAAAGGTGGTCTAATTACCGCTCTCTTACTGATGATGCAGTGTCTTCCTATTCTGATGTTGGCCAAGTCACCACGGATTATACTCTCCGACTGGATTATTGTCTACGGATTTAAGAATTAAGAATACATCGCCAATCAAAAACAATCATTTCTGTTAAAATAATAATGAAATGGAGAATACCTTTCCGTTCAGAACGATATTTTGACTTCCACACAAGACTGAGTTCCTACTTACTTTATTCCCAGAAGCCTAGAGAAATAAAAGTTTGAACTAATTAAATTGTTTTGCAAGCAGAATAGTTAAAAGAAACTAGCATATATGATGAAAATTATTACTTATACCATGTAATTAATGGTATCAGTTAATTGTTGTTGTCATTACAGACCAATCCCAAAAACAATTACTATAAGCGGAATCTATTATATTAGAAGCCAAATGTGCGACCATATGGGTTGTCTTGCAAATCTTGGTCAAATGCCGCACATTATCCAAACAAGACTTTTATTAAAGTGAATATACCGAGATATGCTATCAATTCTGTAAATTTACATAACCTATATCCTTTGCATACTTGCATAGCCTCGTCCACACTACTGCACATCACAACAGCCCTTGCCACAATTTGTGAAACTTACCATGTCATTATTTAAATAGAGAAAAGACATAGTTACTACAAACTATTTTAATCTATTTTATAATTATGGGCATTTGATTGTGACACTTGACAGTTGATCATCAATAAATAACCAAACAGCAGCAGCAATTCAATCGACACTTAACTTATTGCAGAGTTGGCAATTATGTCAATAGGAATGTATTCCAGAATAAATGTTATATATAATATCATGACATAAACAACAACAAAAAAAAAAGGTGCTAAAAGTTGTGAAAACAAACAAGTGAAATGAAACAAATTAAAAAAATTGCAATTAACAATGTACAGGGCTGAAATTTGCATAAATTATTGAGTAATAGATTGTAATATAGGATCTGAAAGACGGAAGTCCAAAATGTTAAAGCATCGGCCTGCCATTATTTTTCACGAGGAGTGCGTCAGACCGCATCCTTTGCCACTGGAAATATTCATCGGTAGTATGTCACACGTACTGTAACAAGTATTAAACAATAAAGATCAAGCGACATTACATTAACCCAAAACAACATATTAAAGGGCCAAACAAATCATTTGATGACAAACAACTCGTTTATGTATGAAGAACAAACAAAAATCCATGTTCGATACAAAAATTACAATTTGTCGACAGGATTTCACAAGTTGCTCAAAGAGCAGGCTTCGTAAATGGGTAAACAGACTTTTAGAGGCAAATATCTTGCAAAGGTCATACATACGGGTACGGTTCCTTTGACTTTTTTGCTCGTATAGGGGTCTACAATTCCAGGAATACAAAACCCTTTGTTTGGAGCTCCAATCTTATCCATAAGTGTACACACATCTGAACAGGGCCAAAGGATCCTGCACTCCATTAATGCTCGAATCCCGGCGTCTCAGACAGAATCCGCACTTATAGTTCACACTGGATTTCATTGTTTCTTAAATTCTTCAAAATGTCACAGGATGGCTCATAAGTCAACTGACTTATGGTCCATCCTATATTATACAGGTAATTGCTTGCTTTCACATTTGCTATGACATTTCTGTAACAGAATTATTATTTCACACAAGACATCATAATAGCTTCTGTAAGGAAATATTCCCGAATAATATAATTACTAAATAAATAAATGTCTGACAGCAACGAATTAAATTCGTTGTAGCTCAGTTCATATGACTCATAGAATGACTCAAAAGATAATTTTCCATTATTATAATCCATCATTACTTTACTTTTCACTTTCGATTCGGAGAGTAAACTCTGTAGATACGAATTAATAAAACAAACACGTGTAAAGTAATAATAATCACTTACCGTTTCGATATATTCCTGCTTGTTGTAATAAACATCCGACGCCTCCATCTTGCCTCCTCGTATGTGTTTCGCATTTCTACCGCTTTGGCAGCACTATCGTATTCACGCCGCCATCTAATGGATGTTTTATGCATAGGAGACGGTGGTCTAATCAATTTAATAATAAAATTTATTCGAATGAGAAATTCAAAATAATAATTTATTAATTGTATTGACAAATAATTTAGAATAATTTCTATGCGTAGATTTTGATACTCGATGAATATCGGCGGAATAGCCAGCTATTTTTTGGGAGGATGATCCGACGTATTTGGAATGCAAATGCATTAAGCCCATAATGCGCTTGCTAAAAGTGGCCCCCTTAATAACACGGGGAGGAAAGAGTTTTGAAAAACCAGCCTGTATATACAATCGTTTACGATAAAGTTATACACACAGTCAGAATTGTCCGATTAGTGCAAAACTCTGCATGCAACTATGTTTTAGACAGGTACCTGTACATAAATGATTAAGATGTGTTCTGACAGCACGCTATATGATGCCACCGGAGTGCTTTAAAATCACTATTCCATTACCCTACGAAGACGTTCGCGGAAGCTCATTGTGTTTAAAATATTCGGTGTACTTGTTGTTTGAAGATTTTTTCGAAAGCCAGGCATGCCAGAACGACGCGACGCAACCACCTTACACGTTGTTTAAAGGTGTAACATCAGGTAAGGAAAGCAGGATGCCATTTTAGCGAACTGTACTCTATCTGGGTCGTTCCGCCTTCACCATCTTCTCGGACGGCGGAAATATACCATGACAAAGAAGAATGCACTACTATGATGAACTGGCAACAGTTTTTTTTAGCAACAAATCTCGTTTTTGGAACACTGGTGAGCACTCCAATCCCGCCTTTATTGTTGAGGGCACACTGCTTGCACTGCTAATAAGCTGGTCTGGGGTGTCATCTCGTACGACAGTCGATCACTCCTAGTAATGGTTCGAGGAACATTAACAGCACTTCAGTAGGTTTGAGAAAGGGTATCGCCTTTCGTCCAGCTGTATAAATCCGTTTAAACGGGCAACGTGCGAATTTATTAATTTCTGCAATTTTAGCAAGATATATTATTCTATTTTTGAATTTTTTAATTAATTCCAATATTTTATATTTTATTAAAACAGTAAAATTATTTTATTTTGTTATTTTCCTTACAATTTTTAAAATTAATATAAAAAATAAAAAAAGTGCAAATGACTTTGGATTGTAGAGGGTGTACTGTTTCCGGAATCATGGCGGCCACGTGATCTTTAAGAACGTAGCTACAATGACTAAAATTGTACAGATTACGCAGCGATGTGATCAATTTAAAGATATTTTTGGTGGTAAAAGTGATATATTGTCGTTATGAAATTGATTATTTTTCATATTACAACAATTTGGAATAAAACAGCGAATATTGCTCTTCGAAACAACGTAATTCTACTAATCACGCGTAGATATCAATCAAATAGGGACTTGGAACTGCTTAATACATTACTTAAGATGCCAAAATCGAAAAATGTGGTGGCGCAGCCACGTGTGCCGAAAGTTAAACCTAAAACAACGATATCTACCATTCCTTCTACCATAAGTTTGCACGTGCTTGGCAATGGAAGCGAAGGAAGCTCGAGATGTTTATATGTGTCCACAAGTAATGGAAGGTGAGGTTATTACAATGTTTATATTCTCTAAAACTTATTAAACTTAATTAGTTAATCCTCTAGGTACATATTTAACTGTGGGGAAGGAACTCAGAGATTAGCAAATGAACATAAGTAAGTATGATTAATTTCTGTCATATATTTTGTAATTTGTTTAGTAAAAACTATATTATTAACATTCCTTACGTAATTATACCTTTGCGATATAATTGCAGCTCTGAGTGAGGAGTTTTAATCCCCAAAAAATAAATTTTTGACCTACTAGATCAATGGTTCCCAATTAGTGGTACGCGTACCCCTGGGGATATGCGAAATTGCATGAAGGGTGGCAATCTAAAATTGGCTGATTTAAAATTTAAATGCATGAGATAAAGCAATCAAAAAAATAATGGGTGGACCATCAAAAATTCAGCAATTTACAACATGATGTCTAATGCACAAATTATTTTATTTATAACTAAAAATATTCTTGAAATTTCATCAAAAAAATGCATTTGTGACAATACCTAAATGAAATTCTTACGCAAGAAACAAAAATTGTACAATTAACATTATCATCATGTCAGCGAAGCAGCAGCAATAAAATATTTACTACCATTTTGCACAACATACCTCTGCGAGAGTGGATTTTCGGCCATGACAAACATGAAAACTAAACATCGTCACAGACTTCAACTCAAAGATGACTCGAGACTGAAGCTGACCAAAAAGCAACCAGATTTTACAAAGTTGTGCAAAGAAAATCGTGCACATTTGTCAAATTATAATTAAATAACCTTATGTTATTTTCATTATTATTAGAATTGTATTTTAAAGGTAATAAATGTAAAAAAATGTTATTCTATTTATCACTAGCTGTCTACCCACAGCTCTGCCTGCATTATGTCAAATTTTCTTGTGGGAGTAAGATATTTTCTTGCAGTAAAATGTAGCCCATGTCCATCTCCAACATGTAAGCTATCTCTGTGCCAAATCTTATTAAAACCTGTTTAGCGGTTTAGACGTTAAAAAGTGACAGACAGACAGAATTATCTTCGAATTTATAATAATAGTATGGATTAATATGAATTTCTGCTATAAGGGGTATGCGAGTTTGAGCTCTTTCTTGAAGTGGTATGCAGGAAAATCTAATTGGGAACCACTGTACTAGATGAACTGTAGAAGTCAAAGAAACCATATCTGTAGTAATGATCCTTGGTGAGATATTTTCCAGAATTTTTGTGGCGATAGGGCCAAGTGGTTCCACTTCCTGAACACTGGCAGTTTGGTCATGGGTTCACACCTTGCCAGGATGGGCTGGCCACGTGGAGTTTTCTGGGTTTTCTCCACATCTGTAATGGCTGAATTGGGGTCAGTTACCCTTAAAAAGACCTTCCAGAAGGCATCGCTCAAGTGTTGCATTGCCATAACTTAATAAAACAAACAATTTTGTGGTGATAGGCTTGACAAAGTGCATGGCACAACTTCAAACTCCTAAGTAATTGGTACTGTGGCATTTCTTGTGTTTTTTTTAGCCATCTCTAGTAAAGTGTAAAACAGTTGATTTTTAGCAGTTTTCATATTTTTTCCTTTTAAAATTTTTTTCCGCTTTTGAGGGTGTTCAAAATTTCAGATGGACCTACTGATTTTTGGGGCTATATCTTGCATCTTTACATATACAACGTCAATTCCTTTTTCTGCTTTTTACTCCTATGGGAATGGTATACTGCTCTGATTGGGTCCCAACCGTTTCCCTTCGGAGCTGTAATTTTACCTGTATGTACTATTTATAATCCCAATGATATTTTCATAAATACATAGGCTAGTTTTTTCAACCTCTGATAGTCCATAAAAAAAAAAAAAAAGACAAGTGTAAATAACAAAATGAATTTATTAGCAATAGTTAAGTACATAAATGGTTATTTTTTGACATAATCATCGTGAAGATTGAGGCATTTGTCGTATCTGTGGATGAGCTTTTCCATTCTCTCTTCATAGAATGTTGCCGCCAATGATTTGAGGTGGGCCCTAACATTGTTTTGAAGATCGTTATTAGTCTTATATCTCTGACATCTTAGCCACTTTTTCTGTTCAGGAAAGAAGTGGAAGTTGCTCAGCACTATACACTGGGTGTTTAAAGGTGGTGAAGACTTTTGGTAATAAATTCATTTTTTATTTACACTTGTCTTTGTTTTATGGACCATCGGAGCTTGAAAAAACCGCCCTTGTATAATGGTCATGTGTAATTCATACATCAGTTAATAATGACTAATTACACTTAACAAAGTATAGGTACAAGGGGTGTTCAAAAAGTATCGGACCTTTATTTTTTCCTGTGTAAACCAATGATGCACGAGGGGTCTCTTTTGGTGAAGTTGTGGAGGGGACAGTCATGCACAGTCCTGAATTTTTTCCTACCTGCAGGAAGTGTCAGTCGTTGGCTATGAGTGAGGACGTGTAGTGAGCGCTTGTCGGATTCCACTAAGTTGGAAAATGACTGAATAACGTGAGCAGCGATATTGCATCAAATTTTGCCAAAACCTTGGCGATACCCAAGCGGAAACCATTCGCAAGATTCAGCAGGCTTTCGGGGACAATCCTCGAGGCCAAAAAAAGCGCAGCAGGTCCGCAGAAATGTCAAGGTCATGTTGACAGTTTTTTTCGACTCCTGTGGGGTGGTGTATCTTGAGTATGCACCACAAGGCCAAAACATTGCAAAGGAGTACTACCAGGAGGTCCTTCGTCGTCTATGTGATGCTGTGTGATGCAAACGACCGGATCTGTGGTCAACCAAAACTTGGCAGCTCCATCATGATAATGCACCCGCCCATTCTGTGATCTGATTCAGACTTTCGTCGCCAAACATAACATTCCTGTGGTTCGTCATGCCTCGTACTCTCCCGACATGGCTCCGTGTGACTTTTGACTATTTCCCAAACTGAAAATGCTGCTAAAAGGAACCCAATTTTTAATCAAGAGAAAACATCATGTGAAATGTGATGGACTGGCTGATGGTCATTCCAAAAGATGCATTCCAGCAGTGTTTCCAGCAATGGCAGAAGTGCTGGGAAAAGTGTATACATTACCAAGGAGACTACTTTAAGGGGATTATGGTTTTGTACCTCAAAATAAATAAATGTATTTTTGCCGACCAAAGGTCTGATACTTTTGAACACCCCTCGTAAACCATAAAACTTTATTAAAGTTGATACAAAATGAATTTATTAAATCATAACTTTTCAACTGCTATAGTTGTGCTACTGTTGCTATAGTTTGTTTTCTGAAGATGGCCCATGTTGAGTAAGATTCAAAGATACACAATGTGACTACTTATCTTCAGAATACAATCTTAGGTCTCAAAGATCCTATAGTGTTTTATTTGTCTCTGCATATGTGGAGTACTCCAAAACTTTGACATGTTTGTGACTCCAATGCAAATTTGGATCTCACAAGTGGAGAACCAGAAACAGAAATATGTTTTTTGAATGGGACTGGGCTTAAAGTGTAGGCAGATTTTGGAATTTTTTGATAAAACCCTAGATATAGATGTGCTTTTGTTTCTTCATAAAATAGATTTAACATTAGAACATATGATATATACTGCTAATCGTAATCCGTTTTCAACATTCATGATAGCTGTAAGTTGAGTGGCAGATATTTGCACAGAGGTGACTTGGGATCAATCCACATTAGTTCAATTCTTTTTATATACTTGTTTCTGTCTATCTTTTCCATTTTCTGTTTCTGTATACTTCTATATTCACTGTCAGCCATCGTTTACAATCACTATTATATGAATTTGTAAGAAATGTGGTAAAGTATCCCACATTTTATTGAGTGGCAAATCAGTCATAAGGCAGATTTGTATGTGTATGCACATTTTTTAAATGTTGAAACCTTCGTATAAACATAATTTTGGTCAAAATAAATCAAATTAAGGTTGTCTGATAACAGTTTCTACTTAAAAATTGTGAAATTTTGTACAAAGGATTTCTCAAATTCTCGATCCACATTAGAGTGAGACTATGTTGTACAGGGTTTTCCCAATTTTCGAATTGTGTTAGAGTGAAACTGTGTCATATGAGGGATACCTGTAATTAGAAATTAGTAATTGTTGCTTGCATTGTAAATTATTTAAGCATAAGACTATTTTGGTCTGTGGTTGTATTGGTAAAATAGCAAGCAATTTTGTTTTTATTTATTGTATTTTTGCTTATTTTGCAATTTATTTCTATTATCCAAATGCAAATACTTTAAGCTAGATTTGCATCTAGCATATGAACTGCTACAAAGAAGATACAAACTGCCATTTTGGCAATCGTTTGACTGATTAATTAGTAGTCAAGAGTATCTCGACTTTTGTGAAACTTTGGTTTGTTCGACAAATTGATTTTTTACAACTGGCAAACCTTTTTGACCGGTTGCGTTCTAACTCGCTTTGTGTCACATAGTATGAATAGCATTTATAGTGTGAATAGCATTTTTTGTTCATGGTGGTTCATATGACAGCATAAACCTAGATTTGCTTGTATGTTATCTATGAGTTTTATGACTTGAATAATGTTAAAATTGATGATTCAATATTTAAAATATAAATTGTTTTTTACTTTATATACAGATTGAAATTATCTAAACTGGAAGCTATTTTTATTACGTATAAAAGCTGGAAGAATTTTGGCGGTCTTCCAGGTAAGTGAAATAATCTAATTGGCGAAACCTTGACAAATGACATCTAATTGAGTAAATATTTGTAAAATAGCAATGGAAACGGTAATATTGTCGCAATGGTGGAGAATGGTCCTAAGCGTCAAATGATAGATTTCGAGTTATACTTATTGGAATGTTATATATTCTCCACTTTTTTCCACGGCAAAGGATGCGTTTTCAATTACAGCACTCATATTTTGATTGCTGCGATCGGTGCTAATTGATTCCGACAAAGTTTCTTCTGTGGTGAAAAGTCTTGTGCAACATATAAAAAATGTCACTTAGGATGATTCCTCACTACTGCAACGATATATAAAAATAATTATTTAAATTAAATTAGAATTAATAATAATTCAACAGGCTTTAATTTGTATTTTAAGGTAATTATAGACTGATGATTTAAATTTTCCATGTAATTTTAGGCCTGTCATTAACTGTACAGGAGATTGGCATTCCTAAGATATTCTTGCACGGTCCTCCTAATTTGGTAAGTACTTATTTGAATTTTTTTAAAGTCGATATTAGCAAGATGTTTGTTTATTGTAATTTTTTTGTTTAATTTTGATGGCATTTAATAAATTTTGTTCCACTGAAGGATCAATTTTGCATCCGATCACATATTCATGACATTCCTCCCCTTTTTCTACTCTGTGGGCATCAAGAGAATCTTTTTAACTACCCTTCCGGGCTTGGCCAGGACCACATGGGATGGCCAAGCCTACAACAAATATGATTAAAATATACAAGAGAATAGCCAATTACAAGTAATAATATCAGATGAATGATATTTGTGTGTGCTGTGCAGTTTCATAAAAGAATATAATAGAGATACAAGGTAATTAAGAAATAAAGAGCAGTTTTGAAACACTGACATGTATTTACATGGATGTGACCAACATGTGTGTGTGTAACTTAAAAAGCACTCAAAATCGGTTGCATTAGATTTGCACATATTTACATGAGAAATCTTTAGTACTTATATATGAAAGATTAGATAGAGTACAAAGTACTAGGAATATCAAATGATTTTGATTGTATGTTGTAAATTTTTAAACATATTTCTTGTGTATATGGCTAATTTTATTAAGAATACGAGTTAATTGGGCACCTCGACTCATTTTCGACAAGTTTTCGAAAGTGCCATAAACAACCTCAGTTTTTGCACAATCTCGTTGGATACAAATTGCACACACATCTATCTACAAGTAATTTCTTATTTCATTTACTAATTCTTTTTTGAAATCTGCGCTTGATGATTGCAAATGTAAAGTATCGCAAAGAGGTCAGTAAGTGATCGGTCATTCGAAAGAACTCTGATTTACTTTTTCCGATCAACTGTACCGACTCAATTGCAAATATTTAACTTTTCAAATCTGCAAACCATTAATTAGATTCTATGGAGCTGAAGTTTTCTTAAAATCTCAGATCAAAATGTATGATCGGTTATAATTTTCTTTTTCAGAGCAAACTGTATGATACAATGAAATGTGTCATTGATATGAAAGACTTGACAGTAGGTAAGTTATAATGAATCTGTTAATGATTAATTGTTTTACTTGTAGTATAGTGTAATAGCGACCAATATTTATTGGTAGAAAAATAAGAATATTTACGGATCTGTTTGTAAATGAGATATAAAATATTAGTTTTTTCTGGAGATCATTAACAATTAGTGTAATTTCATACCAAAAATAGACTGTGTCGATATCCATTAATAACGTCGTCGTGCCAATTGACAACAACTGATTTCTCTCGCGTAATTTCAAAAGATTTGATTGATGTTGACTACTTTTAAAGAACCTTAATTACGACACAAACTAGTCAATGCAGTTGCTTTGACATATAGATGGAAACCAGATTTTATGGATTGAAATCCATGATGATTGTATGCATATGATTGCATAGACTTGCTAATCACCAAAAAAAAAATCCAACAAACCAAATGTACTCTTTGTCAAACTGACCACCTATATTTCTTTGAAAGAACAGACTTTGAGCCTGCCATTGGGCTAGGGTTTCTGAAATGGGATTCCGGGATCCCGGTTGTTTTTTTAACCCGGGAAATATCCCGGGAAATTTTTCTTATCCCGGGAAATCCCGCAAATTTCTTAAAAATTCACTTTTTTTCTTATTTTGTGTTAAGGTTGAGGAGTTTTGCAAATAGAAAGCATAATTAACTCATTCACTGCCAGAATACATTTGTATTTATTAATTTTAAACCTACCTATTAGTTTTTTTAAATTTTTGCTCGTTATAGCATGTCACAAATGGTCAATAATCAATATATAGCTTATTTGTGGCATGACTATAAAAATTCTTTACTTGTCGGAACCTGTAATATCTGGAATAATTGTGCTTACGCTGTCTTGAGTTTTAACCATGCCCAGTAGCTTCAATAAATGCCTGACGCCAGATTGTGCAAATTGGGCAAGGATACAAACGAGTACAAAGTCTGCAAGTATGAAGTTTTTCTTCATAAACCTGATTATTAAAGCCAAATGAATTGCCGAATTATCGAGCTCTAAGCTTGATGCCGCTATTAAAGCAGCCAAGGTAGACAAATCAAGAATACTAGAGAGCGAAAGAAGTACTACAATCTCGAAAACGAACTCGAAAGCTTCCAGGCTACAGGTGAAAAAACACATAATATCTGTCTTCTCTTAAATGCATTAAACACTATTCCAATCACATCAATTGAATCGGAAAGGGCATTCTCGGTGGCAAGACTTTTCATTACTAAAATAAGAATTAGAGTGAGTTATCGGAGTATTGACCATCTTTGCTTTTTAAAATCTTATAAAAGTTTGCAATATTTTGTATTATATTTTATTTAAAAAACGAAAATTACCTTCTAAATTAGAAGTTCATTTTTTTAATTTTTAACTCAATTCAAAACATTTTTTTTGTTGTTGTTGTATGCAGTTTCCAGCAAACTTTAATTAATTTTTTTCTATTTGTGAAAATTTCTACGTTATTTAAAGGTAATTTTTATTATAGGCCTATAGACCTAACACAGCATTATTAATATGATTTTGGAGGTTACAAAACTTTAAAATTACTTTAAAAAATGGAAAATAATTATATCATTTGATTTCAAGATATTTTGTATACCTTAAAAATAATTAATTCTATCCCGGGAAACAGTTCACTTTTATCCCGGGATCCCGGGACAAGCAAAATACCGGGAAATAAGAAACCCTACATTGGGCAATCTACGAATGTCCACTCAATTTCTGGCAAATTTGCTTTGATGTCGGTGATCAGTTTGCACTGGGCATTAAGCAGATTTTTTTCTTGAAATTTGGCTTCTAAAGTTAACAATATCAGACTTTGCCACACAGGAGAACAAAAATCTTAATTTTCATTTTCTCATTAAGTCCTTCTTTTTTTTTTTTTATAGAGTACAAGAGTTATGAGAACAAAGTGTTTGTTGATAATTCTATGGAAGTGAAATATGTACCACTCTCTTCCGAGGTAACGAAAGATGGCACTGAACCTTTGAAAGCCGAAGCAGAGTCGAACAATTCACAGAATGGAGGTAAATATATTTTTTGTACGACTGCTACAAAAATTGGGATCGATGGATCTGGCTCTACTATTAAATGCAGCATTTCATAATTCTTAAATACTTTCTTCCCGTCTAAAAGTTCCTCCTTTTTATAATATAACATAGATGTATCTATAATTTGTATCACAATCTGTAAAAATTTAGCATAGCTTGCTTTATGGAAGTTTTTGGAGAACAAATTAAGTCACTTCTATTGTATCCATGAAGGTGTGAAGTGTTAGCCTATTGCTGCAAAATGTTAATTAACAAATCACTATATGCAAGTGTGTAATAAAGTCCTTATTCACCTACATAGCTACCTGTGTTTGTCAGTTATGGTTACAAGCGTGATGTATAGTTATAGTAAAGTGATTATGCACTATGAGACGAGACCACTCGCAGTCTCCCTAGCAGTGAAATTTGGAAACTAGCATTCCCGTCTCAAAAACAATGCATGATATAGGAAAAAATTCAACTACAGGGTTGTAAAGCACGATCAGTTTAGTATGAAAAGACATCTGCAAGTAGCATGAAATGTTAATGTGCACATCAAGCATTGATACTAAAATGTGTATTTCTCATCTGTTTGTTTATAATATGTGAATTTCTCATTTTTCTGTCTTCACGCCACATTTGTTACCATGTATCTGTTGTGCATCGCTCACAAGTCAGTGTGTAAGGACTTTACTACACACCATGCATATATAATTGTTTTTGAAAACAATAATTTGAAAGAACAAAATGCCCATTAACAAGTCCACTCAGACCACAATAGTGTAGCTGGACAAGAGACAAGACCTGGAGTATTATATTGTTATTCTGACCCAGAATAACAAAAATATCCAAGGATCAGAGTCTGGAACCAAATCTGGTTTCCTTGAAGTGATGGACACAAACCTTAATTGCTTGGCCATTTAAATTTGTTATTAATTTATGAATGTATCAATTTTATCTATTGTTTTCTGTTATCGTCTTTATTACACGCACAAAGTTTTGATATAACTGAATTATGATTTTATTATTATTATTGTTGGCAGTTGTATAAATACGAAGTTTTAATTTTCAGCAAGAAAAAAACACAAATCCGACCTCGACAAAGACAATAAAGATATTTCTATCGCATACATATGCAAGGTATTAAGAAGCATTTTCTAAAATAGAAAAATATACACGTTTATGTTTGTTAATTGAATTTTCTCGGTTACAGTTCCACGATAAACCCGGCCAGCTCTTACTTAAGAAATGTGTCGATTATGGGGTACCTCCGTAAGTAATCAAATTTAAAAAAAAAAAAACCTAATAAAGTTGTTAAAATTTAACTGTGAAAAAATTTTTAGTGGCCCATTATTGGGACAACTTAAAAATGGTGAAGATGTGACATTACCCAATGGTCAGATTGTAAGTATTTCTTTATTATTGATGCTCTGTAAGCAATTATTTTGAAAATAAATGCATTTTAGGTCCGTTCTCGAGACGTCGTGGCTCCCATAGAACCAGGTCCCGTTCTTCTTGGTGAGTTTTAAACTTGTGCTAAATATAGTATTTTATGATTGTTATGGAAACTCGATTGTGTCTGTAAGCTATGAGATAAATTTCAGTGTTGGAATGTCCGTCCACTGATTATCTGGATTCTTTGCTAAACGAGAAAGCATTCGAAGTGCATCAGTCATGTGGAACGGAAGATAACCATGCCTCGGTCGTCATCCATTTTACCGAATTGGACGTCCTGTGCGATCAAAGATACCAGGAATGGATGAACAGGTTTGTGAATATGTCCAACACAAAATTTAGATGAGTAGAAATGGAAAAAAATTAAACGTTATTGCCATTTCTTTACTTAAAACGACTGTTACAGCATATTTGCAAATAGAAAAATGTGGTATTTTTTGTATCCAAATGAAAATTATGATACATTCTATATACTGCAAAGAATATTTTCCCCTCAGAAATATTTATATAAAAAATGTGGTGTGTTCAGTACAATGGTATGTCTTATAAAGCAAAAAATTTGGTAATTGTCAATGCTCATAGCAAGTTCTAACAACTGAAATGATTAAATCAAAGTGATATTATCATTGAAATTTTGTGTTGGAATCTTTGTATTGATTTTTTTTTTATTAAAATGCAAAAATCAAAACGTTTAAAATATATTTTAGGTTTCCTGCAAGCACCATGCATCTTGCACTAAATTCATCGAATGCTTCATTATCGAGCATAGCCATCCACAGGATACAACACATGTTACACTTGATTCATCCACGAATTTTTCCTCTATTAAAAACTACAAATGAGATGGTGAGGATATTCCTTAGTATTTTATAACTTAATATCGCATGAATTTGTGTTGGAAATCGTTTTAACAGAATATTCTGTAATTAACAGATTTCTGGCAACTATGGCAGCTCTTTAGTCGTTCCTTCGGAAAGCATGGTATCTTATTCTCTTCGTCCGAAAGAAGGTTTGAGCAGGTAATTGTTAATAATTGACTTATATATGGAATCTTTCATTTTAAATTAAATTATTAATTTGTAATTATTATCCAAGAATGTCGTAACGTATGTCAAAACATTGGTAAACCGTCCCAAGTTTCTTATTTGCTCATTACAGTTTCTCAGTACACGCATCTGACCAATACTCAAATTTTTCCTATGCTCGCTACAACATATCTGTCATCACCCTCCCACAGTAGCCACAATTTTATGGTCTTGTAGATTACTTGAAGAATGTAAAATGCCTTCTCTGTTGTGGAGTCACCATTTTCATTTATGGCACTTCCCTGAGGTAGTAGACTAAGAGACATTTGAGTACAGATGGGAGACAAAACTTGGACGATTATTCTATCAATCGTTGTACATCGTGCACTTCTCGGATAATAATTAACATAATTATGTAATTTAAAGTGATAGCATTCTTTTTGGAAGATCCTGTAGATAAATCAAAATAAAAATTTACTTTAACATTAGAGAAACTTCTGTTAATTTGGATGTCGATTCGTTCAATCGAGAAGCCTTTGAAAAACCGGACTTCGAGGGTAACTTGAAAGAACTTCAGCATATTTTATTGGAAGAAAAACCAAATGAAACAAACAATGCCAGTGAGACTATATTTAAATTAATAATTAAAATAATTTTTAAATTTAATCTAATAAACTTTTATATTTTTAGTATATCCTGAAATTGCATTTCTCGGTACTGGTTCTTGCATACCAAGTAAAGTTCGTAACGTTTCGGGAATACTCGTTCATATCAAGTAAGTAGTTTATTAAGAAAGATTTTTCAAGAGGATTACATGTTTCTATCTAAATCATTAAAATCAATTTAGTGAAGAAATCTGCATGTTACTTGACTGCGGTGAGGGAACCTACATTCAACTCTTTAGGTTGTATGGATCCGAAGGAATAAGAGACATTATAAGAAAAATAAAATGCATATTTATATCTCATCTTCACGCTGATCATCATCTGGTAAGTGAATTTATAATCCTATAATGTAAAGGATGACATAAAATATTGAACTTACGACCCTATAGCCAAGGCGGTTAAGGCAGCGGCATCCAAATTTTTGAATTGGTGGGCCACAAATATTTTGCATATTCTATATATGGAATTCTTAAGAAAGTCTGTATACCCTTTATAACTTTCTTAGTCTCTTCTGCTCTTTCCCGTAAGTGTTTCTGCCAAACAATATCATTTTTGTACTAATTAAACAATGCTCTTTTGTTTTGTAATTGGACTTCTTGCCTAGCTCTGTTGGTTTTCAAGTTAGTTTTATATTTTTGAAAACTATAAAATCTTGGTGTTATCTTTGACCAGAAACTGACTTTCTTACCACGCTTGCACAATTTGAAGAATAGATGTCTAAAGTATCTAAACCTTTTAAAAGGTACTAAATTGCTCATCCTGGGGAGCATATAAATGGTCTGTGCTCGGAATTTACAGGGCTCTTGTCTGCTCAAAGTTGGATTATGGATGTGCTGTATAAGGCTCCACATGAAAATCTACTCTTCGGACACTGGATCCAATTAATCGTCAAACATTGCGCTTGTGCACCAGTGCTTTTCGGACATCTCCTGTTGAAAAACCTCTGTGCAGGCTATCTTCTTAGCCTTAAAATAGCAAAGATGACTTTTCTCCTTATATATGTGATTTATACTGGCTCTGTGCACTTCAAGCTTTGCTCTTGTCTAAACCTATTTCACACTCCATACTTAGGAAAATTTGTAAACTCATTTGCTGTCTCTTTACAATGAATTTCTTTTTTAAAATCCCATTGTGTCCCAGGCCACATAGGTATAAGAGGGAATGAACAAGCTGATGTAGCTGCAAAGTCTGTTAGTCTTTTAATACATCCAATGCCTGTTGAAGGCATTGGACTTGAAGCCAGTCATTAAAAAACGAATAGCAGAGATATCACAGAACACATAGAATGAAAGAGTCCACAATAAACTGAAGTCAAGCCTCTGATAGAAAATTGGATACCTAATGGGGTTTATGACAGATCTGAGGTGATTTTTTACTGTTTTGAGAATTGGTTGTACCAGCTGACTCATCAATATCTTTTGTAGGGTGAAGAACAACCAGTAAGGCAATACTGTAACTGTGTATTAAGTGTGAAACACATACTGTATGAAAGCTCTGAATTTGAGAGAACTCGCGCATGAATTTTAAAAATGAAAGTTTGTCGGCAATTTTGGGCCAGAGGCCAAAAGTGTGCTACCGGACTTTCTGAAAGTCACTAATGTGTTTAGATATATTTGATTATTTTGTTTTGTTTTACTGCTAATACACTGTGATTTTTATTTGTACAGTTCTATATACTTGTAATGGTTGTATTTATACAGTTTTTATTATTTGACATGACACAGCTTGGAATATATGGCTCTTGTGCCAATAAAGACAAGAAAACTAACTTGGATAGTTTGTTTTAGTCTATATTTTGCCACTAAGGGCACTAAAATCATGTTTGACGGATTGCACATGGTCGCTTTCCTATGGGTGGTTTAAAAGTCATAGAGGGTGTATGGACTTTCCTAACAACCCCATATACTAAAAGTAGGTGTATTTCTATAATTTGTGTGTCGATTAAGTTTGCAGGCTGGATTTGACCTGGGGCCATAGTTTGGGCATTAGCTTATTGCTTTGGGGGTGGTTTTGTCTCAGTTTTGTCAATGTGTCAAACCCCATCCCTCACCACCTGGGGTTGTGTTTGTGGAATTTTAAGTCAAATCCAGCCTTAACTCATTTTTTTAGTATGAATAGTTCAAGTTGGACGATCCATTGCAAATCAGAAATATCTACAATGGCTGTCTTGTGGCAATATTTTGCAAAAACAAATCCAAATGAAATTTTTTTGCTACAGTTAATAGAACCAATTGTCCTTCTCGTTACAGGGTCTCGTGCAAATTCTGAAAACTAGATCGAAAGTTAATGGAGATGTTCCGTTGTTTCTCGTAGCGCCATTTTATGTTATTCAATGGTTGAATAATTACCACTGTGAATTTGAGCCACTGTTAAACAATGTCGTGTAAGTGCAAAATTTCTATTGGTCTAAATTTGACAAAGGCATTTACATTTTTTTTTGTCTTTACAGAATAATTCCAAACATTAATTTAGCATATAATAATGAAAAAAATGTGCCCAATTATAAAGAATTATTAGAAACAACAAAGTTAAAGGAGGTAAACATTTTGCATTTATGCCCCATTATGTGTAGATTAAACCACTATAATTGTAGTTTTTCTTTTTAGGTATCCACCATTCCTGTTAAACACTGCAAGGATGCTCACGCTATCTTATTTACCACGTCTTGTGATTACAAAGTGGTGTATTCTGGCGATACAATGCCTTGCGATTCATTAATCGTAGCAGGTAAAAATATATTCTGAATTTGTTGCTATGACGAAAAGACAATTTATATTAATTTTTTTAAAATACTGCAACTATGGCATAATTGGATAAACATAGAACTCATGAGGAGTTTGGAAACACCACAAGCCAGCTTACAGCATAACCTAACTCCTCGTGAGTTCCTCTTTTGCGTAGTCATCCTGTAGTAACAATTGGAACTCATTACCAGTTCCATTATTTTATATAGATATTATTTTGCAATGTGAGTTATAAATTGATAGTAACACAAAGAATATGTATATTATTTTAGGTCAGAACTGTTCTTTGTTGATTCATGAAGCTACAATGGAAGACGATTTAGAAGAAGAAGCAAAACTTAAAACTCACAGGTTTGATTTTTTTGCATATTTTATAACAATTATTTCACTTCAATTAACATAAAAAACACTATTAAATCTTGGTTTAGTAACTATGCATACTAAAAATGGATGGCCTTGATCCGATCTTTCTTTTAAGGAATCTCAACCACCCACAAAATCGTTCAAATGTCCCGTTTTCACTCGGAAATCATAATTGAGCGATTTCTGAGTGAAAACGGGACATTTTAACGATTCAGACAAGCAAACTGGCAATAGTATAGGTTTGCCATTCCTAGTTTGAATACAGATTACCTTGGAAATTTTTGTGGGTAGGTCAAAGTCTATTGGGCACCATCTGTTACAACTGGCTACCTCTGTTACGGACCTAGCCAGAACCAACAGTTCTAAAAATTGTCTTAGTACTTACAGAACAGAAAAGTTTTTAAAAAATGAGCCCTAGGTTGCACACTGAAAAGTCATTGGCGTGTATGCATGCCAAGGATTGCTTACCCCTACTGTAGGCTGTTTTTCCACAGTCACTTTAGACCAGAGATGGTTACTGCATAGTAAGCATACTTATTTTTAAAACTTCGGCATGCATAAATATTTTTAGACTTGACTTAGAATGATATTTGAAGAAATGAAATGAACGTGCTTTAATTAGAATAAATGTAAAGCAGATTGATAACTGAAATTGTACAATAAGTTACGTGCTGGACAATTTTTCTCGATATGCAACGGGTGCAGCATCCCTGCTCTAGATATTCAAGCACTTATTGTATCATTTGCCAATCCATTCAAGAATGTAGTAGCTGATACGTGAAGCTCATCCTCAATCATAGTGTTTTTCTCCCCAAAAAATCCTTGTTTTGTGAAAGGTGAAATTCACTAGGGGACTAGGTCTGGGCTGAAGGGTGGACAATCAAGAATTTCCCATTTAAAACTTTCAAGGAGTTGTTTTCTTGGTGATGTGGAGCCATATGGCGTTGTGAAGAATGACGATAATGCTGGACAGTGGGTATCTACTGTAATTGTATTGGTGTAGCACAATATGCATCAGCATTTATTGTGGTTCTTTGAAGCATGTACTGAAAAGGTCCCTTTCCTGTTGAGTTAATGCTGAAAGGAACCACGATAAATACTGGTGCATATTGTACTATACGGAAGTAATAGCACTGCTGGACAATAGGTCTTTCCTTCAACCTTTTTTGTGACATGTGGTCCTATGTTGCTGAGAGAACAAAACAACAGCTTGAAAATTGTAAAGGGAAAGTTTTGGACATCTGCTTTGCAGTCTAGACTTGGTTCCTAAGGACTTTTTGGGAGGAGGAGTTGCAGGAAACAGTCACTACATTTTTGAATAGATTGGCAGGCAACTAAGAATTGAAAAAATAAGCAATAGTTTCAAAATAGTGTAAATCCACATACAATTACATAAGTCTTTGTGAACATCAACATATTCTACATATTAATATTGCTGTGTCAGTATAAATTCTGTCTAATTATTTCCTTTCAACAACATTCTCTTACAGCACAACCTCTCAAGCAATCGACGTTAGTAAAAGGATGAATGCGCAATTTACAATCCTGACACATTTTAGTCAACGATATGCCAAAGTTCCAATCTTTCCAAAGAATGATTCTGGTACGATTGGTTTTGCTTTCGATAACATGGTGGTAAGTATTAAACTTCTTTTCCAATTACATAAAACTTATGGACCATTGTTAAAAATTTCTTACCTTTTTTTTTAGGTGAGACCTTGCGATCTGAGACTCCTGCCGTTGTTCCTTCCCTGCTTAAAATCTCTCTTTGCAGAACACTACGAAGAAATGCAAGAAAAGACTGCAAAACGTCTCAGACAGAAGCAAATCTTGACCGAAATGATGCAGCAGAATGCTTTGTAACATATAAGTTATCTGTAGGATTTTGTAAAATAAAATATTATTTTAAATAACGGAAATAGCTCGGCGGCGTTTGACTTAAACAAAATTGGGCCAAATGGTAAACTGAGAAGGTACACTTTATTCATTCATTTAACGAACAATGGCAATCACTTTACATTATATTCGATAAGTTGGCGAATACATTTTTTCCCCCCTAACGTTTCTGCATTTGCAGATACACTCTGTTTAGTCTTAATGACACAATTTCATAAAAAATAGTATGTGAACTTTGTTTGGTGATAAAACTGACAATGATATTACTTGAAATGGCAAGATGATTGAAACAAATGGGAGAAAAACCTTGTTAAAACTTAATTTCTTGACATTTAATGATCGATACCAATGGTTTCCTGTAACTGCATGCTTTGAATTTTCTTAGTATGGCAAGAATAATATAGTCTACAAAACCTCTATTTAAAAGGAAGACGACCAACGATGATTGTTTTACGAATTTCTTAATTCAAATTTTGCCGTTACTAATAAATAACTGAAATAAAGAAAATAAAAAATCACAGAACATCCGTAACTTCATCGCGTTCATTCCGAGTACGGAATCGATAATTTCAACACGATTTATCAAATTAATGATGGCAAAAAAATATATATATATAACAAAAACGGGAGTAAACATTCCAATGAAACAAAACAAAAAATACAATTAACCATGTGATATTTAAATCTAACCAATAAGAAACTACCTCCAGCAGCTCCGTTTAGTCACGCCCTGGCAAGTTCTAAATTTGGGCGGAAGGAGTGAGGATATCTACTGGTACAACAGGGACAAGAGAGTCATCCTTTGCCACTTTGATACAAAGTAGCAATAAGGTAGTGTGCGTCTACGTTACGAGGACTTGTGCTCTTATCTCTGAGCTTCGATCTCCATGCCGTGCGGCGATGCCGGCGGTTGGTGGTTTCCTAGACTGCTGCAAGTTCCCGTTGTTGTGGTGGCATTGGTATTATTATTGTTTGCCACGGGAGACAGTGTGGGTGATGTTCCCATCTTGTCCGAAGCAGACATCCTGGAAAATGCCGATAACGTGTCTGGGAAGTTAGGAGGAGTAGCCGGAGTGTTGGCAGGTGTGCAGATCTGTAGGAAAGTACAATAATGTTAGAATATTGTCGTTTTTCAAAAAATAACATAATTTGGCAGTAATATCAAAGAATGTCTGGACTTTTGCCAAGTTAAATGTTTTAAATCAGATAAACATTGAAACAATGATAATATTTCATGAAAATTTGATTTAGTTATGATAAAATATTAATGAATTTCTATATTGTTTAACAACTTCGGTTAACACAATTGAACTTAGGACTAACATTTTGGAATTCTGGATTTAGTTCAACTTTTAAAAACTTCTTCTCAATGAATGATGTGAAGGTGGGATTTACTTTCTAAAACATTAGCCTCGTTGTTTTCTGAGGACTTCTAGATTAAAATTATCAATTAAATTATTCAATGACAACAAAACTAGAATAATACTATACTTCGCTAACACTTTTGCACTTTTGAAACAAGCTTCCAAAAAACACAAAATATTGGTAAAACATTATATAAATTGCTTTTTATTTATTTATAATTAATTATTGGGTGATAGATTATTGTTATTCAATTCTTGATTACGAACAACAATTAATAAAAAAAAATAAAAAAGCAAATATTAGCACACAAAGAAAATAACTAATTAATTTTTGCATAAAAGATTGTTTAAAAGAATTAACGTAATCTCCAGACTAACAACACTAGACGTATGCACTGCTTAATGATGGGGATACAGTTTAAGTGCATTGTTGAGCGAACGTCACAGTATATATTTAGAGAAAGCTATATGATACAGTTTACTAATTTAAATTAAACTATATATAACACTGTAATAAGTATTTGTGAATCTAAGTGTGGAAAAGATACAAGCAGTTTCTTCATTATAATCTCGCGGAACCTCCATCACACACCCTGTGGCCCATTATTAAGTGGAACATCATTAAGCAGCACTTATCTGTATTTCATCGAATGAGCAAGAATATAATTTTTAACCTGTCCATTGCATCAATCCATAAATCCATGCATATTATAAATTTTGTGTAATTTTAAGTAACCGTAAAACTTACCATTAAGTGACAACGCTTTTTAGCTTTGTCACTTAATGGTAAGTTTTATGGTTACTTAATGGTAAGTGTTAACGGTTTTCATTCCATGCACAAATCTGACCCTACTTATATATTACAGATATGAAAAAATATTATATAATAAATACTTTCAAATATATCAACTTATAATAAATGTATAAAATGAAAATTTGATGGCTGAAAAAAAGCAAACAACAGAACTGCATGGATGACAGATTATACCGAAGCAATCATGCATAAAATTGAGATTGAAATAGATGGTCATGGTGCAAATGCTGCAATGACAATGATATTTTTCAATGAAACATTCGCATCATAGTCATGACTTTTGTCCAATACTTATGTTATATGCATAATTTTGAATTACAGACTAATTTACTTTTTTTTTTTTACATATACAGTGAATTGAGTCTCCAAATGTAGACAAATAACTAAATTAGTTCAATCTTCTAATAACTAGGCAAGAACATAACATATACGCATTTTAGAAGTAGACCGAAAAAATTTGCAACAGAACTCTCCTATCTGTATGGCCAGTTTAAGATTTGTGTGTATATTTTATACATAAAGAGTTTGCTTTATCATGCAGTCATTTATAATTTATAGTATGCATATCATTTAATTGAATGTACCAGTACACACAAAGATTTTCCTCCTACTCTTGGCAATTGAACATTAACTATGTGATATCTGCATGCATGCACACATGCACACAAACAAGTGATCTGTACTTTTATTTGGAGACTTTTGAATACATTTATTTTTTGTTTTCAATTTGTATTTTTCTAGTGTAAGTGAACCGTCTGTATATTAATTATCACATATTACTGTACTAAACTTAAGATAAAATTTTATGCACTGAGTCTAAATTTTTTCTATCATGTTTAACTGTTTTTATGTATTGGCTATTCCCCATAAGTTTAAATTTCTATTTATAAATAACAAGAAAAGTTTGCCGATATCTAATATTTAACTGAAACTCGTTAATAAACTGTTGTCTTTATTGATTTGGATAGACAAAACAAGTCTGCACAATTTAGAAGAATGCATTTAAATATAGTCAAACCGGAGACGAACAGAATATAAATTGGCATATTTCTTTCTTTCTTGGCAAAATTCCTGCATTGTTAGAAAAGTTACTATTCTTTATATTACTGTAGTTAATGAGAAAATGAACAAAAACAAGTACTAAAATAATTAGTCATAATAGTAATTATGTTGCGATGACTACTACCTGAGACTATTGCAACACATTTTTTAATACTATAAAGACTTAAAATTTGTTTTTGTCTACATAAAAAAAAAGACAATTTTGCATTCAATTCAAATTGTTTTCCTTGGAGCTCCACCCAGGCCTGATTAACATTTTCAAGGTCCAAGTTATAACACAGATCTCTAAGAAATGATAAATTTAAGATTTTGAGACCTTAAGCTATATGTTATTTAGCTTATGTGTAAATCTGGCATTACACACATTTGTTATCAAGTGCTTGTCTGTCAATTCTTAAGGTAGCACCTTAAGAATTGACAGACAAACACTTGAGACATTCGGTACTTGCCGACTGCCAAATAATCACCCTTTGATTTGGTACAATATATCCACAATGAGTGGGAAATGGCAAATACTGGATGTTTGAAGCCGCCTTTATTGAGAGGTATACTTTCAAAAGTTGCTAGAGGTTTTTTTAAAAAGTTTCCATTCCAAGAAATGCTTTCCAAATTCAATTTATAACTGAGAAGCTACCTTCATAATTCCACATATTTTGAGTGTGTAACGGTTTATTTGATGTTTATGTGAAACAATTTAATGGATATTTATATATCATATGATTAAAACGTACGTGAATATACTTTTGTAACTATTATAAAAAAATATAATATGAAAATCAATATAATTAATTTCTAATTTACTTAACACAACATGGTACAGTCTGAACATTTACAACAGAAACATATTAAATAAACATTGATTCTAAGAGAAGAACTTGAAAAAATTACTTTCTTTTCCACTCCTTTGATTGTGAAGCAGCAGAGTTTTATTGTAAAGAGAAAATGTAGTGCCAAAGAATGTGGAATAATTCTTTTGTTTGAAGCTGCATATTTTATGTTCTTTGTATACTTTAAAGTATACAAAGAACATAAAATATACCTCAAACAATAAGAATTAAATATAGTAATGAGGTCTAGACACAATTTTGAATTTGGAAGTGTGAAAGTCATGTACACAAATATAAACATTTAAAATCTTGATTTCTAGATTAAAACCAAACGATTGCCAGATTATAATGGACTATATCAATGCCACTATTAATAATTAAATGTTAAGTAATTTAGTCTAGAGGTAAGCTTTAGGTGCCATTTCTTGATAAATTTAATAATTATAATTAAATTAANTTTTTGTAACAAATGATTAGCATGCTGTCTATCACTTATTATAGATTCCTACATCTATACACCAACCAAAGTCGAATATTATCAGGCTAGAAACAGCTATAACATTAATAATTTATAAGACAAATTGGCACTAGAGTTAGGTGCCATTTCTTGATAAATTTAATAATTATAATTAAATTAATATTTTAATAATTAATTTAGAAGGTTCTGGAAGAAAAGGATCAACTCAAAGTGGGGCCTGCAACATGAAACTATCTTCACTTAGTACTGTGAGTAACTGGTATGGTTATATCTAAATTAATAGTTCTAAAAGTGAAAATTGGATGAAAGTCTGGGTAGCACAACTAGCAACATGACTGCATAGTATGTGGGAATTGCGTGTTCAAGTCATGCTTTGGGCAGATTCTTTTTTTCTAAACCTTCTTTAATTAATTATTAAACTATCAATTTGATTAAAAATTATTAAATTTATCAAGAGTAGGCACCTAATGACTACCTCTCAGCCAAATTACTTAACATTTAATTATTAATAGTAGCATTAATATAGTTAATATAGCTCGAGACTGTTGGGCGGACACTCATTAAGTTTTGCATCAGTTTTTATTTTCGAAAGGTGAGAGTACAATAGCAAAGGTAGAGAGTGGGCAGAAGATGTCTGATATTGCTGGGCAGTATGGCTTGAACAGGTCTACAGTAGGCAGCAGTTCAATCTTATCTAAGAAAGATACTGTATAATCAAGAAGACTCAAGCAGCTAAAGGAGTAACAAAAATCATATCTGAGAAATAAAAAACATTGAGCTCATAACGGAACCTGAAACTGATCTGACAACAGAAGAACACCAAGAACTCTTGAATGAAGAACACCAAGAAACACAGCAATATGTTTTCTTCTGAAAAGGAGAATTAATGCTGATATCTGCTATTAAAGATGTTTTGAAGAAGTGGGAGGATGTCAGAACAATGGTCTTAGAATAGCATCCAAACCAGGTTGAGGTTAATAGGCTTAGGGATCTCTACAATTACAATGCTATTAATTACTTCTGAAAAATCCTGAAGAAGAGAGAAAAGCAATCGACATTAGACAGATTCTTTAAACCCCTACAAACAGAAAAAACATGACTAATAAAAATGCAAGACTGTGTATATATGTATTTTTATTATTACATATAAATAAACCTAATAAGTAAGTATATATTTTTTATTTTTTGTAGTTTCCAGAACAAATTAATCAAATTCCCATAAAAACCTATGGTAAATCGATAATTGGTTAATGAACAATTCGGATAGCAAACAAAGTCTTGGAATGAATTATGTTCGTTAACCGATCACCCACTGTAT